ATAAATTCAATACAACATAAACACTCATTCAAGATCCTCTATATATTTCACCGAGTGAGCACCAAAAGGTGTATTTCACGAGTGGCGCAGTCGCGAGTGAAATATGAACCTTTGGTGTTCACAAAGTGAAATATATTTCGATCTTACACTAAACTAAACAAATTTTCTTTTTATTATATGCAAAGAAACGTTTTTAAAAGACATTTAACCTAATACTGAATGAAAAGCGCGCCAAATAATAATACAACGTGACGTCATTTACGACGTCACGTCATTAAAATGGTACCCAGTTCTGTGCACGCTGGTATTTCACTGAAACAACGTAAGGGGCTTAAATTCAAAACAGTGAAATTATCAAAGTGGTAATTTCACTGTTTCAAGCAGTGAAATTACCAGTTTTTATATCACTGATATATTTCTATAAACCATCGAAAAGCATGTAATAAAAGTATTTACAAAAAATATCACTACAGAAAATTGTTTCTACTGTATATATATATTCTTTATATAAAAAATTATAATGTTTAAGAAATAACAAACTCTATATGTAAAATTGGTAGCGCTTTCAATGCTTTCTTCGCATATCTTCAGCCGAAACTTTAATAAACATATAAACAAATGACGTAACGTCATGAAAAAAAGCGGGAACGTTAAATAATAACGTATTTCCCGGCAAACACAATACTGAAAAATAGAGAATACGGACATTGAGCATAATCCGTACAATCTGGCAGTGAATTAATGACATTTATCACACACCCGTGCCGATTTTGCGACTCCGTAAATATGGTATTGCACGGCCGTGCATATATTTTGACGTGACGTCATTAGCGTTATACAAACATAGTGTAAAGACGCGCTAAATGTTAGCGTTAAACTATAGACGCGTCAATGAAAAATGAATCTTATTTCACTTTAAACGGTCTTTATTTTGGGTATGTGCTAATAGAATATTAAATTCGTGTAAGTTCATTATTGAATTTATTGCACTCGTTGAATAAAATAATATTATGCTCGCCAGAGGCTCGCATAATATAATTTTATTCAACTCGTGCAATAAATTCAGTATTGAACTTACACTCATTCAATATCCTCTATTTATTAAAGGGAGGTAATAAAATTCACAAGTTAATGATTTTATGGCCACAAATTGTATGGTAATTAACAATTTTTACTCAATAAATAAAATTAAATAAGTAAATTTAGCATTTTCCCTCTATATATAGAGGATATTTGTTTGTTTCAGTGTAAGATCGAAAAATATTTCACCGAGTGAACACCAGATGCAATATTTTCCACGAGTGGCGTAGCCACGAGTGAAAATATAATAGCTGGGGTTCACGAGTGAAATATTATTTGATCTTACATGTAAAACAAACAAATTTTCTGTTTATTTCATGATTTTTAACGATTTTTACACCATTTTACTGATTTTTGCCGCGTAACGTCATGCTCTTATCTTCATGACGTCATCAAATAATGACGTCACAATGTTGAAGCAAAATATAATTCCATGATTATTTTTAGATTTTAGATGTTTTTCAGCACAACGTTCGTAAATATGTACGAACTACAGTTATCACGTACATTTGTTATTATGATTGACTACATTTCCGCTGAAAAAAAACATTCATTAATGATAAATATTTTATTTTTACGCCAAATATAGTTCGGCTACTGTGAAATTATATTTGGTAATAATTACTGTGAAATTATCAGAATATAATTAACCGTTATAATTCAGTAATCTACTGCAAAACATGTAATAAAAGATATTAATCGAAAGTGATAATTTTAGAGAAGAAAAAGAAAAACTTTTAATCAAGTTATTAAAACCACAGCTAAATGCTCATTGTTAATAATCATTTAACAAGGTATATATATACAAGTACTTCATATTTATTACAATCTCTTCATTTTTAATTATGAAAGAAACGATTGTGATTTTATTCAGTCCAATTGTTCGTTTATTTACCAATATTTATTGAGTAAAAATTGTTAATTACCATACAATTTGTGGCCATAAAATCATTAACTTGTGAATTTTATTACCTCCCTTTAATAAATGTCATTAATTCACTGCCAGATTGAACGGATTATGCTCAATGTCCGTATTCTCTATTTTTCAGTATTGTGTTTGCCGGGAAATACGTTATTATTTAACGTTCCCGCTTTTTTTCATGACGTTACGTCATTTGTTTATATGTTTATTAAAGTTTCGGCTGAAGATATGCGAAGAAAGCATTGAAAGCGCTACCGATTTTACATATAGAGTTTGTTATTTCTTAAACAGTATAATTTTTTATATATTTCAACACTGCACAAGGAACATTCATCACGTTTTAATATATTCTTTATTATACGTAGTCTCATCTATACATATTTAAACATAGACAAATATACAACGAGAACAATGTATAACCATATAAGACACATCATGTCTAAATTCATTTATTTTCGCCGACTTAAGATAACAAATTGGCGAGTCTGTTGATACCAACATGCTTTATGTGCGTGAGGCATTTAACTTCGTAATGAAATAACTTAAATATTTCGAATGGAAATTAAAAGACTAGAGTTGAGAACAAAAATGTTAAAGACAATATTTATTGTCCACAACATTGACATAATACGCATTAAAAATATTTTAAGGAAGCTAAATGATCGTGCGATACTACATTTTAGCTGTGAATACGATAACCTTTTCGTTACACTAAACATTTAAGCTGTTGTGTTTGTATTAAAGTCATACAGATCATTTTAAAGCATATTTTCCTTGATTATATCTCACGTTAAGTTATGGTGAAACAAAAGAAAAATAACAAAGAAAAAACTAAACTTGTTACAAAAGGAAATTAAACCCATCTTTTTACAAAAGAGACGCCTGGCTATGTTTCGTTTTTTCTAAAAGCAAATAACTTTTGAACTATTTAAAACAGTGTACACGTTAGACTTCGTGCTATTTCTCACATTCAATATATGTACTTGATGTTATTTTCATAACTATAGATAAAGACAATAGTAGAGTACAATTAGATTAAATATCCCCTAAATCCTTAGTTATAGCACATAGCTATCTTTGATCTCTGGCGATCCTTCGGTCAAAAACCGGCACTCGGCGTACACTCATAATAAGCCGAGGTACGCCCCTGGGCTTCTTAAATTATTTCTGTAAATATTTTGCTCCAGTTTCTGTAGATCTATACAGCAGTTCAAAGCGTTCAGCACTGCTTGAAACAACAGTATACATGTACAGTACTTAGATGTACTCGCTATCCTATTAAAATATAAAAAAATATATCATATAAAGAACTACACACAAAAAATTTAAAAGTCATTTATCTTAGCATCTAAATAACCCCGACTGCTCAGAAAAATCTACAATCTCACATATCTACTCCTTGTAAAAATAATAGAGACACGTTATGCCATTGTGAACTACAACAACATGTCTACTTAGTTCTATACTGTACATAAACCCATTTAATAAAAATTAAATTTATGGATACTAATAAAGTATATGTTAGATCGACTTGATTAAAGTTTAGACCGTATTTTTCTTCAGCTTCAATCGCAACTACTCGGCACTTTCCGTCAGTATTCGGATAAAGACCTCTAACACAATAGTATGAATACACAGAACGGATGTGGTCTTTCGGTCTAACCTACGCTAAGAAACTAAATATGTAAACAAATATTAATTAAATACTGGGAGTTGTTGACAAGTTTATTTCCAATATATGTAGTAAAAGTCCACCTAAAATAAGTGAATTCATAGGTATAAAATCAAACAATACATTATTTTTTTTATATTTATTACTATGGTTGCAGAAACAGAAAGTACAAAAAAAACAACCTGTTGACATTTAGTCAGATGTGTTTAAAATCGAACATCAGTGGGCATATTTAAATTACAAATTGTTGTCAGACATATTCAAGCATAAGAGAACCGGAACAGACATTAGATGTCAAATATATACATTCGTTTTACTGTTTACATCTAAAACCACGTGGTAGAACTACTTTCAATCCGTATTGTTCCCGAGGTTATTATAGATAATAGCCGTGGCAGTTCCGAATGCTTCAGCTTGCGTTTCGCCGACGCTTACTTGTTGTTGTTGTACTTGAATTGGTGCACTCGTGCGAATGCTCATTATGACGTCACAAATTGTCAAAATTCTATTTTTAGACACGTTCTGAATGAACGCAACTGTTCATATTATGTTCAACATTATTAAAGCACCATCACGTATTGAATTGCGTAAATCTAACATCAATTACAATACATTGACCAAAAAACATACCCAAGTACTAAAAATCTCAAATACTTTCATGTTGTTTAGTCAGAAGGACTGCCATTGAACACGGTCGTTCAAGTTATAAGTGTTCAACTCGTACATAGAACACCTTCGCTGAACACAGGTATTCAAAATATAACGCAAAATGTTCCAAAATTGAACAAGTGTGAACGCGATCGGTGTTCTCCTTATTTGCAGTGTGGGAAGGGCGGTCTATGTAAAGTAAAATCAAAGTGTATTCCTCAAACTGTATCTAAGGGATTTCCTTCGATACCGTATTTCAGTGCATTTATGCTAAACAACTATACTAACAATCTCATAACGGGCCTCATACTCAAATAACAACGCATATTTCCTTGTATAAATACAATTGTTTCTCTCAGCGAGTCATATTCAGATACATTTTCTGATTTTATTTTTCAACTTTCCTCATCAAAATGGGTTTCTCATTGTTATTGTCATTTGCTATTGTCGTTGGAATATATAGTAATAATTTTTCTGAGGCTAGAGAGCCTGTTTGTTCTAAATTTGCATATGAAGAACAGCTTTTAGAGAAAATGATAAGAACTGAAATTAAGGTAGAAACAATGGTGAATGAAGTTAAGAAAACTGAGGATAATGTCATCCGTACATTAGGTGACATTAAACGAGCAATTTCAGATTTTACAGACATGTTTGCAGATATGAAGGAGAACATAACCGATTTTAGAGGAAACATAACGGACGAAATGTTAAAGAGAAGTGACGAGATAGAAAGGAGAGAAGGTAAAATATAAACCTCAGATCTACATTGTTATAAAATGATATTTGTATACTAATGCAATGCAAAAAATGACTTATATCTTTAGTATGTAATTTACAACTGATTGTTGTTAAGGGCTGAATCAATATAAAGTAACAATTCGTATTGCTTCATTAAAACTGAAATGAGAAAATCTGTAATATGATAAATGCGTGGAACATTTAAAATTTAAAGAATCATAAACTTTAAAAAAGAAGACGTTTCATACACCAGTTACAATGCTGACATATTTACCTAAATGTCAGTGTTAATATTGCATAACTTTTATTGATGCAAGCAATAAATAGAAAAAGGGAAAGGTGAAAATCATGTAAAAAAAAACAACAACTAAAAACAATAACAATAAGAATGGTAAATTTTCATAAAATTGATTGGTAATTAACAACCTCGTGCTTAACAATGTGCTAGTACAAGCATGAACATGTATAAAATTCCTCAAATACATCAGTTAATTGTTACTCTTCTGTCCCATTCTGTCGTGTGTTTATCTCGTGCTCTATCTAGTTGGTGCGTCCAAGAACACTGCTAAATTTCTAGATTTGAGATATTTCGCTCTTTTGTATACTTCTGATCTATAGAAAACAAGAATCGCAGTGAATATTTATGTTAAGATTACTATACCTAACAATCATGTTTCCATGAAGACAACCGCTAACTCAACACATTGGTGTTTCTTATTAGTTAACATATTCCCTGACTTTTTGTTACATTAATCTTATATTGAATTACGTCAGGAAATGGCCAACACTCCAGCTAATAGAAATTCTAAAAAATCAATTGAAATTTGATTATAGAAAATTAGAATATATATTAGAATGCAGGTTGTTTTGATTTAAGTTTTATTTCAAGAGTAACACTAGAACACTAGTGTCTATGTAAAACTATATTTCGAATCAAGTTTCGTATTATCAGCAACACTTTCTGCATACAGTTCATATGTACACATGATAACACATATAATACTTATTGAACTTTGATTACCGTTAGTAAGTGTACTTTGATATTATTTTTACAGGATCCTTCAAGAAATTATTTGAGCAGACAAGAACAAACCTCACGAGTGACATGGAAGCTAAAAGAGAAGAACTTACTCAACTTCAAGGTATTTTTTCTCATTCTACATCCACGGAATTATAATTTTCTAAACTGTGTTTCATAAAATCTTATTTAATTATATGATATTCAATTGATTGTTTTAAAGTGTATTCAAGTTCTATAATACGTCAGTTTGAAATATTAAGAATTTAACTAACCTTTTGCGTTAACTATAAACTAGTACTGCCATAATCTTTAAACTTATTTAATTACATGTATATATACTAATTTTGAATACAATTCATCATCTTTATTTTGTAAACATGTTTCCATTAAAGCTTTAAAATATCATGTTTTTCATATATGAATATATCCATAAATTATTTCCTAACGCTTATATTACAAATGAAATGCCAAATTAAATTCAACCATACTCTTTGAATTTAACCATCGGTTATTTAATACGCATTATAATTCTTATGTTTATATAAATGTACCCTATATACAAACAAAAATTAAATCATAAAGAAACACATACTTACTTTACTATTTTTCCTATTCTCAGGAAAACTTGAACGACCTTCGATCGCTTTCCATGCACATCACGTGGCAGATTTGGTTCTTGATACTACAGATGAGATTATTATATTTTCGAAAAGTCTGATAAACGAGGGAACAGGCTACGACACTTCTACTGGACTTTTCACAGCACCAGTTGGAGGACTGTACCAGTTTTCTGTGCATACATGTGTTTATATAGGAGAGTATGCTTTTATTGGTCTAGTGTTAGAAGGTAAAGTTATTGCAGCTGATATGAACTATGGAAATGCTCAATACCCATGTAGTGCGTTTGCAGCAATAGCGAGGGTTAAATCAGGAGAAAAAGTTTGGGTCAAATCAACATCGTCAGGTTCCAACCGCCAGCTTTTCCAAAACTCAGAAAGGATGATCACTTTTAGTGGCATGCTTGTCAATAACTGAATAAATAACAATGAACATTGATATCAGTAAAAACCATATTTATATATTTGTACAAACATATTTTCGTGTAAATTGTTTCAATCTATTAAGACTAAATATAACAAAAAAGTTTTTTTTTGTGAAATAAGTAGAAACCCTCTGTTGTATCTATAATATATCTAGATGTTATGAAGACTATTAATCATGTTGTGTTCACTGTGTTTGTTCTTGAAAGCCGAAGTGTCTAGCCTTAATATTTAACAAGATTTCCTTCTTCTGAAAAATGTTTAGGTGAATCAATTAATACTGCTGTCATCAAATCTAAAATTATTTTTATTAAATACGATATACAACAACGACGTCAGGATTTCAAGGAAATAATTTATGATGTACTTTCAGTTTTAACTAGGCTTACTTTACATATTTGGCTTTTTGATTATGACTAAATATATCAAAATTTGTATATATTTACATACAATGATTATCGTATGACGATATTTTTATTACAAATCTTAGAAAAGATATTGTATTTTGCCATGTTTATCAGAATACACATATAACAATACACATAGTAAGTAAGTAATTTATTTATTATAGTGACATGTGTAAACATATTTTACAAATTCAAATAATACAACATATTAAATACACCCGGCCCAATAGGCCTATAAGACACCTTCAATAAACATGAAATATTTACATAAAGTCATAAATAAATATATTAACAAATTCATTTGTAAAAAATCGTAGCTATAACTATAAATTTATCTGTAAATGCTTTCACGTCTGTAAAAGTATGATTTTACAATGTATTTAGCTAGATTTGTTATTTATCAAATAAACTAATTTTTCTGAATCAGTCTTTGAGTTAAAATCGTTTGTATTAAATAGTTCACCAAAGTATTCAGAACGTATATGTCTATAAAATGAGCACTTTACTACGAAATGTTCTTCGTTTTCAATACACCGATCAGTACAAAATCTACAGAGTCTATCTTCAACACGTTCCCCAATGTAACGTCCTGTCTCAACGCGTAATTGCAAAATGCCACATTTTAACTGGGCAAGAAGTGATCGTTCGTTTCTTTTCATACTCAAAGAGACATATTTTTCTGTTTTGAATGAAGTATAAGTCCTTAGCTTAGATACGTTTTCTATCCCGATTTTCCATATGCGACTATAGTATTCAAAGATCTTAGAGCGGGCAAAGGTCAATATTTATAACCATTTTGTTGTTGTAGTACTCTGTTAGACCGATTAAGGATAACATTTCTTCAGATCACTACACCAATAATTTGAACATAAACTATAATCCATTTCAAATATTTTCCTTGTTAGACGATTTTCATTGAATGAAAGAAGTCTATTCCAGTAACGGATAATATTAATCCACCGTCTATAATTTCCCGGCAGCCACGCGACGTCTCCCGTTATGGCAAGTACAGGTGCAAGACGGTGAACACCCAGATAATACCTGATTGATCGGTGCTGCACATTTTCTAAACTCTGGAATTTCCGGTTTCCCCAAACGCCAGAGCACTAATCTAATATTGGTACTAAACACAAATTATACAGTTTTTCAAAGGTTTTAATACCAATAGATTTTAATGAATGAATTTTTGATATTATCTTTCCGAGTGCTCTTCCTGCGCCTTTTCCGAGAGTTTCTGCTTTACACGAGAAATTTCTATTACTGCTGAATACAAATCCAAGATACTTGTAAATCTAAACATTTTCAAGCACGTTATTTCATATTCTAAAGTCCTGTGTCGTTTGCTTCGCTCTCTCTTCCCGGAAGTGAACGCATTTAGATTTTTCACTGTTTATCAGGACGCGCAAACTCTTACATCATTCATGAAGTGCATCTAATAGTATTTGAAGGTTGTTTTCTGTTTCTGCTAGTAAGACAATGTCGTCTGCGTACAGTAATGATGGGATCTTTCTTCCTCCTATTTCGAAACCAATATTAAGATCCTCAATTTCATTCACGAAATCATTTTTGAAAACGGAGAAGATTGTCGGTGACAGATTGTCTCCTTGCTTTGCTCCGGAGTTACAGTCAAACCACTCAGTAAGCTTGTTATTTATCCTAACACAAGAACTAGAATGTTGATCGATTTAAATACAGCTTCCCGTCAATACCGTTAAGAAGTAATTTATACGGCATCATTTCAGATTGATGAAATCAAAACATTTTTGAAGGTCTATAAAGACGGTAAAAACAGCCGAATTATTCCGAATGATGATGTTCAGTGCAAACACGTGATCCTCACATGAGCGGTTTCTTCGGAAGCCATTCTGTTCGTCTACTTGTGTGTTCGAGGTCTCTAAATAATTTGTTATTCTTTTGTTCATAAATGCACTAAATAATTTGCTTGTACACGAGAGCAGACTAACACCTCTGTAGTTCATTGGAACGCGGGGATCTGAGGCTGGGTCTTTATAATAGGACAGATAATAGCTTTTCTCCAAGTTGAAAGTATCAAACTGGTGAAAAAGCTCGTGAAGTACAGTTAAAACCGGTGGGGATTTCAGTGCACCATAGGGAATATTGTCAATACAAACAGCTGACATAGATATAAGTAGATAAAATAAAAGGAAAACAAGGTATTCCATTTTAAAGATACTAGTTGTTCATGTTAAATAAGCCGCTTATTCTAATTAACCTTTCATTTGTAATATTAAACTTTGGTAAATGCCGAAATTTAAAATATATACACGTTTTAAATGGAATGAGTTGTATGAAATGATGATAATTATTTCTGTATTGTATAATAAGTACTTTGATATGTGATAGACAGGAAGGTGACCTGAATATATGTTGTTTTTTTATTAGCGATAATTGAAATAAGGTATTTTGTTACTTTGATGTAGAGGAGCGTCGAGGTGTGTAAGTCATATCACTTCAACTTATTTTTTTTTTTTTGCACTAAGGTAAAATCACTTTATTTTTCTCTACACTTAAAAGAAGGGCTCAAAAATAGAATAAAAATAAAAGGCAGCCTGACCGGGACTTGAACAAGATACTATCGAAATACCGTACCTCGACTCTATCGATTGAGCTAACCGGCCGCTTACACACTATTTCCCCTACTTAGTGAATAGTTCTGAACTTCGAAAATAGAACATATCTTCAAAAATAAAATGGTCAGGTAAATGTCCTATTTATTTACTTGTATGAGAAATGGTTTGTAAAGGCCAGAAATATTTCTATTTCATTAACTTTCTGTGTTCTGTTATAACTTACATAAAATGTTACACATTGCCAATTATCTGAGCAATCTTTTACTTCTGTTGCTTTTTGGCAATAAGTACAGATACAATGATTTTGTATGGAAGTCAAATACTACTTTTTTGTCATATTTTCCTACTTTCATGACAAAAATTCTTCATTCAGCTCTAAAACATGATAAAAAAAAGATCAAAAAGGAAAAGGGGAAGAAGAAAATTAAGATGAAAAAAAAAGAGAAAGAATGGGGGAAGAGCTTTATTATTTGAACGCCATGAAACTCGTGTTTACCGTTAGCATGTATTCGTTTCAATGGCAAAATATGCTATTAAGTAATAAGCCAATATATGTAAAAGACAGAAAACATGCATGTATTTCAAAAATGATAAAACGCGTAAATTACCGATATTTTAATGCAAATAATTCCGATGTGTTCTAACATTTGACTATTCTTTCATGTACAGAATATACAAAACTTAAAAATAAAACAAGCGGTTAAAGAAATAATTATGCAGTTACCAAGTAACGTACCGATTGAAGTTTGATATTAAGATGCGAAATTGATACACGTATACTTCGGTGAATTGACTAAATTATCACAGTTCCTAGATAAAATTAACGGTTGATATCTTTAAACTTGAGATATGTTCTATGCCTTGATTTATCTAGCCATAAAATTCGTGACCACAATTTCCAATGAATCCATCACAAATTATTATCATCACGTTTAAGATGCAGATATGAAAATCGAAGCATAATTATCTTCCCGAACATTCAAGTACTGATAATTTAGGTTAGGTCACATTTATCTTTACAAACAAATGTTTCTTTAAAAAAACGTCCGAGCAAAAAAAGTTTTCAATAAAGCTAAATTCATTACACATAAGTTTTTAAATGCTATCTGTCAGTGCTCATCATTTCTGCAATAGGGATATATCTAGATTATAAATCAAGCAGATCAGTGAGCAACTTATCAAATAAATCTAGCTTTTATTGAAAATGAATAAGTTTATTGCTGACAGTGAAAGCACTCAGCGTGCTAAAAACCAGCAAAAAAAACAACATTCTTGAGTGTGTTGATACGCCAATACGTAACTTAAAGCTGTAAATTTAATAAAAATTCGACTGCAGTATCATGCACATGTATAATGTGTCTTTATACCAGGCAAGCCGAAAAAGTTCTTATAAACTGATAAAATTAATTAAGATGTTGCTGTAAATTGGTATCTTGAACCATTTTTAACAATTTGATAATTATTCAAATATTATCATGCTTTTGTCACAATTACAAGGCTTTAGCAGTCACAGTCGTATGCTGTATCAATAACTAAACTGTTAAAAGATCGCAATATCACCTCAAAAGAATTGGTTTGAAATTCAATCACGGCTATTTCATAAAATCAATTGAATCCTGTATTTCTAACTGTTATTATTGCATTTTTGTTTTCAGAATAGTTATTGTGATATAATTGCATTGTGACACCTATTGAATATTTCTTCAGTTTTGATCTCATTGCATTTGTGCTAAGATATACGGGTCTCATATTCAAACACACAGATTGTCATTGAATAAATATAACAGTTTCTCTAACAGAATCAAACTACAAGTCCCTCCGATATTTTACAGCTGTCCTTATCAAATGAGGTTCTCATTGCTAAAAGGTTAAAGATGATATTTATCAAAAGGATAGAAGGTACACATTATAAAGATAAAACATTAATATGATGAAATACGAAATAAACTTGATATTGTTTTATAACTTTTTGCTTTTTAATTATCTTAGGACAAATAGGTCTAGATCAATATATATTAAACATTGTTTTGATTTGTTAATTTAAAATGAGAGAAAAAATAAGAACACACTAAAAGATTCATCTGTAAAATATGAAAGGCATATTATTGCAAATAAATTCAAATTTAGTACATCAGTTTATACAAACAGTATCATATTGGCCGACAATTTTCACTTACTGTTTTAAAGTGGTAGAATATGTACTAACTATCTGTTGTCGAAAGCTTACAAACAATATTGTTCTGTTAATCTGATTACGTTATGAATGACATTTAGATAATAAACATTTTGTATATTTTGATGAATCAAAGTGCAATAGTAACGCACAATTATGCAAAACAAGAACAACAGTGAGTAAATATGTGTCACAGTAATTACATAAGAGATTAATTTGTGGCTGCAAAAACATTATATTCTAAACCTCATTATAAGATGTTTATACGATCAGTTTTCGTGTTTAAATCTAAAGTTTTAAAGTGTATATAAGTATATTGTTTTTGATAAACCTGAGACACATGTCACACTATCAGTGTCAAATATAAGATTGCGCCAGTTTCGTGAATTATGCACCGAAAGCTTGTTGGCTAATAAAAAGGTATTTGTCTCATTATAGCACTATATAACGCTAGAACTTCTATGAATATCTGTGGTATTCCACAAATGGAAATTAAAGTCATGTCTTTCTTAATTCTAAATGCCAAGTAATCAGCTGATATCATTTACATACAACATAGTATTCCTAACTTTACTAAAGACTCATAGCTTTATATCCACGATTGCCATAATCAAAAAGTTTACTTATACCTTGACGTTGATGGATTTTCGTCTTTGTTGTAAACAAGAAAATATGTCATTAAAAGTTGGTCATTGTTTCAATTTTAAACATGCTTTAAGAGATAACGTGTAATATATTGTCCGACTACTTCCGTTAAGAAACAATTCAAATACTCGAACATATTGTCTTAAAATCATACGTGATTCATTATCCGGTTATGTCAAACCTTTATATCAAACCTTAAACAAGGAGTTTCTCCAAATATCAAGTTAATTGCTAACAAATGTTCAATTTCAAATATTTTCCTATTGTATTGCGGATAATGCGAATTCTTTTAATTTAATATTTTTTTAAATAAAGATATGACGAGATAAACGATGAGAAAATATTTCTTTTTAGAGTTCATTAATGGGGCTTTATATAATCTTTTGCTGTTAAATATGCGGGAATAAACGCTGCTGATTATTGGTTCATGGGCATTAATTTCCAGTTGTTTAATACTTCTTTTAAGAATATGTTAATAAAGTATTACTTTCCCATAAAATATCAGTTGATTGGTATACTTTATTCATATTACAATTAAATATTTTATGATAATTTATTCTTATATGCAATTACGTCAACAGTATATAAATTGCTCTTTGCTCTGAAGCGCTTGTTTTTTTAAGATAAAGGTGCAAACATAGATAATGATATTACATTAAGATAGTCGGTAAAATATTTTTACAATAAATTAATAATATGCATCTTATAATTGGACTGAATAGATAATCCTACGTTATGTAACTTCTTGATCTGTTAGAAGTGTAATATCATTACAAGGCGTTTGCACTATATTTACCGAAGATACTGTAAAACATCCGTATCAAGTTTTTTTTTCTACCAATTAGTTCTATGTTTACATATTTTGTTCTCTGCGCCAGCTCAGCTGTTTTCACTATTTGTGTCATTTTAACAATTTTCTAATTCTTAAGCTTTTATCTTAAAACTTGCTGCTTCAACATTATTCAAGTGAAGAGGCAATATAATAACAGCAATATAGGATGAAATCAGTTTAATATATAATATTCTTAATCAAAGCAAGTGTTTACAGTGTTTACCTTTCCATAGAGATAACAATTAATTGACCATAAACCTGATGGTTTATAATAGTTGTTCATATATTTTTCTGGTAACACCGCCTGGGTTATGTAAATTGATTAGATAAAATTAATTGAAGCCAGATCAAAATTCCATCTGTTTAGAATGTTCTTTTTTAACAGGATGCTGTAAAGATACACTTTGACTTTTTGATTTCCTACATCACGATTTTTAAAGTTTCTAACTATGTGATATAAGCCAGATATATTTATAAACAATTGATGCATGGATGATAAAGATATAGATAAATGTTATCTTTTAATTCATTTTCTTACTTCGTAGGTCCGGAAGGAGGGCATCTTCAAACTGGTTAAATATGACTTAAACAACCTTTATATTTAACGGTTTAAGCTATAGTCTTTCCCTCTATCGAGTGACAGCACCACAACCACCATCACAGGCAGCGACCTAGAGGTAGAACACTAATTTCAGAAGTTAAAGGTCCGAAGTTCAGATTTAGTAAATGTTCTTTTTATTAACGTATATTAAATGGTTCTTTAAGGCCCATTATACGCAAGACATATTTTTATTTCTTAACAGCTTTAAGGTTTGGTAAGTCACACATTACTTATTTTTCCGCAATCTGTTGCCTCTGTTGCTTTTTGGCAGTTAGGACATTTATAGTGATTTAGGAGTTTGTATGGAAGTCAAATACTACTTTCTTTACATATTTCCTTCTTTAATGACAAAAGGTTCTCGTTCAACCTAAATTCCGTCTATATTAAAGTCCTTAAATATACTCTAAAACCAGTCTGAGAACGTCATGAAGCCCATGGGTGCTGTTTCAAAAGGTGGTAAGAATTTTGTTCATTTCTAAGGCATTATATGCCTTTAAGTTATAAGTAAATATATGCAAAAGAAAAATACATGCACTTGTTGCAAAAATAGAAAACATCTAAATGACTGTAATCATTAGACTTTTCTATTTCTGTACACGTTATACACAGCTTTAAAGAGAAAATAAAACGTTCAAGAAATAATTACGTACTTGCCTACTATGTAATAAAGTTTGCATATCAGGATGGATATTAACGCACTAACGCTTGTGACTGGCCAAATTTTCACAGCTGTTCTGAATTTTCCTAGATATATTCAGAAAATATTAATTGAATACTCGTACTACTTGAAAATCTAAGCCTTATTATCTTATTGAAATAACAACATACGGATAATTAGTGAAGATCACATTTAAATAGACAAATGCTCACTGTTTTTTTAACAGAAGGTCCGGACGGTCTGTTTGCAATAAAGCTAAGTTTATTGCAAAAAATGTGAGTAAATGTTATATCTGTGCTTCGCTAGTAACAAGGCTTTTTTACGAATCCAGCAACGGTAATTCTTCAAAAGTGTATTGTATAGTACCGATAGGTTCAATAAAATCAAACTTGAAATAATGATAGAAATATTTCTTTGTAATCGACATATACAGATATAAACATAATTTATGTTTGATACAACTCACAGGAAAAAAACAGATTCTTAAGCAATTGAGTCGTTAAGACTCAACAATAAGTTCCAAGTTTTTATACTAATGTGTAACAATAGGCGCATATCAAAGTAATCGTATAAACACGTACAATAAATAAAATAGGAGAAATGTTATCATTAGTTATGATATTAAACAAAAGAGATCGGATTATCAACTCAGAAGTAATTGATTTTAAACGAATTACGCCTTTAAGATGAAAACAAATATTTCATTTTGTATGTTGCCCTTGAAACTGCGCTCACTGTATGAGTACTATATGACTCAAGTTGTGAAAGTTTGTTCCTCTTCAGAATGGCTTTTTGATATAATAAAATGCATCATGCGGTTTCCTTGCAATTGTGCTTAAACACAATTATCATAACAAACATGTACGGGCCTCATTTTCAAACACACACGTTTTATTTGAATAAATACAACAGTTTCTCTAACATTATTCAATTCAGATTTTATGTTACATCTGTCCAAATGAAAAAATGAGGTTCTCACTATTATTTTCGTTTGTAATTGTAGTTGGATTATGCAGTTATAAGTTTTCTGAGGCTAGAGAGCCAGTATGTTCTAAATTTGCATATGAAGAACAACTTTTAGAGAAAATGATAAGAACTGAAATTAAGGTTGAAACAATGGTAAATGAATTTAAGAAAACTGAGGATAATGTCATCAGTACATTAGGCGACATTAAACAAACAGTTGCTGACTTTACGGACATGTTTGCAGATATGAGAGGAAACATAACGGATGAGATGTTAAAGAGAGGTGATGAGATAAAAAGGAGAGAAGGTAAAATTAAACAGTTATTTCACAGCAAATTCACATTTCTTACAGCATATTGAACTTTTAAATCCTAAGTTAAAATACTTTATATACAAACTATTGTATTTTTTGTGGTGTCTCAGTCAAGGGAGCTAAATGATGAATTCAAAATCTATAATGTTAATTGAGTTACTCCCCTTGGCGTGAGAGTTCCAAACTTGTGCTATATACACTGAATTCCAGCTTTTGTATAGGACCACTTCCTCTTGTACGTATTGTATATAAGGTATATTGGCTGGGTTGAGCTTAATTCATTACATTGTTTTATGATTGTGTAAATAATATGTTATTTTACTGATCTATGCAGTCAATTATATAGCACAATTCAATTGGTGTTGTTGCTTCTCGTAATGATGTACTTGAATTAATGCTTCGTAATGGCACCCTTTCAAGAGGTGTATAAAACATGTTAACCGAAACAATTTTAATAAAATAAGAAATAAACTTTATAACTGGTGCATATTTCCAATAATGTATAGTTTAATTTGTAATTGTTGGTAATATATAGATCAATATATCTTAAACATTTTTATTGATTTGTTAATTTAAAGTGATAAAAAAGAAGTTCAAAACATAATATATTTGCAATATTCAACTATCTGTAAACTATATACAATGTATAAAACTTTTTTTGTTCCAAAAATCAGATTAAATGTATCAGTTTCTTTAAAAAAATGACACATACGCCTAAAAATTCCATTAATTGTTTTGAGCATGAATTACATTTAGATTATCAACGCTACATGCTTTACAGGGGAACATAATTATAGCAGCTATAGAGAAAGGATGCTGTGCGTACAGAATACCCTTTAACTTTGGTTAGATATTAGTTAATAGAATGTTCATACTTTATTACAGAATCGTTCAAAACATCAATTGAGGAAACAAGAAAAAACCTGACAAGTGACATCGAGGCTGAAAAAGAAAAACTTTTTCAACTCCAAGGTATTGTACCTGCTTTACATCAATTGTGTTTGATTTCTATTTATCTACAACTAATCATAGCAAATTATTAAATTGTTGTTTACTTGACATGTTTTATCTTGGTATATCACGTGGTCAATAATATATGACAAATTATGTTGATATAAAAATATATTGCTCTATATGTAAATTTCTAACTCTCATAAGACGTCCAGATGATTTTGTTTACATTCACACATTCTAGTTTGTAATTATCTAAACTCTACAGATATTGGTACGATATAAATATAAGGTTTTTTTACTGGCATAGGCCCCTTGATTTAAATATCTTATATATAAAATACAAAAGTATTATTTATATACTCAGGAAAACTCGAACAACCTCCGATCGCTTTCTATGCACATCACTTGAAAGACCTGCTTCTTGATACTACAGATGAGATTCTCATATTTGAGAAGACATTCACTAACGAGGGAACAGGTTATGACACATCAAAGGGATTGTTCACGGCACCTGTTGGAGGACTGTACCAGTTTGATGTTCATACATGTGCTTATAATGGAAAACATTCTTATCTTGGCTTAGTGATGGAAGGTAACGTTATTGCAGCAGATGCTAACTTTGGTGATGCATCTTATGGCTGTAATAACTTTGGTGCAATAGTGAGATTAAAATCAGGATCAAAAGTTTGGGTTAAATCAACATCGTCAGGTTCTGTCCACCAGCTATATCAAAACTCTCATAGGATGAACTCGTTCAGTGGAGTACTTGTCAATTACTGAATTATAAATAAATCAATAAACATTGATGGGAGTAAAAAATCAAATTGTTAAACGTAAATGTTTTGATGTCAACTGCTTCAATACATTTCTTCAGACTCTTAATAACAGTAGTATTTTGCGAAATAAGTCGAAAACTGGCGATTTATCTATGATGTGTCTATATGTTGTGATGAATATTTTTCATACAATGTTTTAGTTTGCATATTGTTGATATTAGTTAATGTTAGTATCATATTAGCAAATAAAATAGAGAAAATAAGAATCCCTAAAGAAATCCCAACACGGCTTATTGAAAATGTTGCAGGCTCGGTTTGATTGAGTCTGTTCATGGACGGTACTGTCAAATGCAAACTACAGTCCACACCCCCTAGCACCGTATTAAGCAGAATTCCAAATTTAACATGAACTTGTAAAATTTTGAATTTTGAAATATCCGCAGATTTGTTCATACCACAGTAGTGTCATTCCATGAAAAGCGGCGTATAGTCCCCAAGTAAAAGAACGATTTTGCCCTAAACGACAAACAATGTGCGTAACAAAATAAAATGGAACTTTGAAAGAGAATCTGAGGTTATGAAGCCTGCACATTACAGATAAACCATTCAAAAATGCTATGCTATGTGTACCTTGTGTGCTTGAGCTATAATCAACCAACTTGACAGGAATGTTTTTCAACATGTAAAGCTATGAACCTTGTGTTTTGCGTGTCAATTTTTTCCATTTTTGTTAGAGTTACTGTCCTTGGCTTCGTATAAATTTGCAATTTAGTAAACTTGCAAATGCATAGCTCAAATAATATTTGCACTGTAGTCCTAAACAAATACAAGAATGTTGGTCAGCATGTGTTGTTATACACTTGGGGGTTTGTTTTATGTACTCATTCAGTATTTGTAGAGGTTTTGCCCTTGACTTAGTAAAGGATTTGAATCTTGTGTCCCGCATAGCCAAAATAAATTCATATAGAGTCAGTAGATTGATAGAACAGTGGAGTACGGACAAAATTCTTGTTTATTTACTCAATCGCTTTTTGTTTGCAACCTTTTGCGTGATAATAAGTAAGATTTAATACACACAAGAATTTCTTAATTAATAATATTTATTGCATCATCTACATATATAATTAAAAATCAATAAAAAATAAACAATAAAATCTTTAATACATACATAACATTTATTGAAACAAAAGAAAATATAAATGAAAACCTGAAAACCCCAAAAAACCAATTTACAATAATATATCATAGACTGACTATAGAAACTAATAGTTGTTAAACTGGCCAGAAACAATATATATGCTGATACACGTCGTCAATTATTTCTGACACTCAACCTTCCTAAGATCTTATTTTCTTGTGAAAATTCCAGAAAACAATATATTTTAACATAATATTTTCCTGTGATAGACACTATTCAAGAGGTACGTAACAGATGTTAATAGATACAAACTGTTGAAGTTAAAGTAATTTCAAGGAAAACATAATTAATATATAGATAATACAAACACCATATCTGTAGTTTATAAATATATTGTTCCTTGTATTTATTCATACAGTTATCATAATCATTTTGAAAATATGCTTCTTAATGTCTGATTTTTGTGCAGTTCGGTCTTACTGTTTCACAATTCCTTTTCAAATCCCTTCGTTACTGGATGTACATGACGTGAATTGCGTTGTTCTGTTTTTGCATGTTGCCGTTTGACGTTTTAATGATGTTTATTCCATTAATGTCCTTTGATATTGCTAATGTCGATATTTATACAAAAATAAACAAAGCCTAATTTGTATATATTATAATAAAAGCGGTGACGTTTTCTACAATTAAAAATATATTTTTCCGTTCAATGGTAATTTTTTTTCTTATATTTTCTTTCTTCAAAAACGTGTTTCAAAAAATAAAAGCTTATGATAACCTGAATAAATCTTCTTTTTGTTTTGCATAATAAAAAAAGATCAATGTTCTTTTTGTATATCGTACTTTACTTTTAAAAGCAAACTTTTTACACTTTTTACTAACTTAAGACTTTCCATTAATTTTATCATCGTCTTGTGGTGCTTCGTTTTCTTCATTTTCTGTGTCAAATAATGAATACCCAGAAAAAGACGAATACATGTAACCATGGATATATGGCGCACGCTTTAGAAGTACGAGCCAGACCTGGTCCCCGGATGTTAGATTCAATATGGCGGTGTTTGACGACGTCGCCCACAACGGTATACTCTCTGCCCATATTGTCTCCACCATCGTTCCGTTGTTCATCAACATCACAGCAGCCTGCAAATGAAAACGATAGTAACAAATCAACATTTTTAGATATTTACCTTCTTCGTATAATTGTAATCAATGTTTTAAAGGCAGAATCTTTGGTAGGACTGACACAATGTAATTGTATACTTAACATGCATTAAAAGGACAATTAAATTTCGTAATGAATGAAAAATATACACTTAAGTTAGATTCTTAAACTGGATATAAATTTCTGTGTTTGAATCTACATTTGCATTACTTTGGTAATTATGTTATCATATACATGTACACATTCATATTTTGACCACCTAGATCTATATTGTATAGAATTTTCAATGTAACATGTCTGCTTTGTGTAGAGTCAAACATGTTTATTCATACATGTATTAAAAAAGAGACCGTGTTGCAATTATCAATATTTTTCAATATCAAATTTGAGCACAGTATATCTTTTAAAATTCGATTCGTTTGTATTTGGACTTTGATCTTATTAAACTGACGTCATTAATGACGTCATCAAGGAAATTCTATACCTTTTGTCCCCCCTGGGCAGCAATCACGACAGTAAAATGATACAATCCAGAGAAAGGAATAGTGACTCTTCCAGTTTGTTTATCATAGGCATCTCCAACATTTGTGTGGACCTTATCGAAAACAAGATCAATGTTTTCTTCTATCTGACCCTTGTTTTCGCCCAGGCCAGCAAAGAATGCCATACGATAGGTTTTTTTAACAGACTTACCTGAAATATATAAATACATTCACCATGTATAGTTCGTTTAATTCACAACTGTACATTAAGATATTTCTGGATAAAATGGTCCTATGTCAACTTAAATGTAAACTATCAGAGCAATATTGAAAACAAGGGAATGCTTGACAGGTAGGTACATATGTTGTATCAAAGGTTTGTGCACGCCCGTTCACAGATTCTTATTTTATTTGTAAAAAAGAGCGATTTGGGACCGAAAACTGCTAGGAAACCAGTTTAACATCGCACAAAAAATAACAGTGCGGTGATTCTTATAAGCTTTGTAATGACACCTTATATATAGAACAATGTAATATGTCAGCTCTTAAATCAATGGCCATTATAACAATAAAGGAATAAGAAAGCAGAACGATTAATCTTGTTTTCATAAAGTATAAATGTGATGTTAAGGTTTTGTCTTTTACGTCTTACATCCTCCAGAGCTTGTAATAGGATCAATTTGTATAACAGGATGATGTTTGTTTGATTAAACCATTGATAAATATCTTATATTGACTGAAGTAGACATTCCGATATCCGACCTACAATTGCGATATCAGCACATTGTTCAAACGTATGAAATGACATGTTAAGCTAGTATTAACGCTACAATAATATCATCGTCGCCAAAAAAATAAGTTTTTTCACTGACCGTTCTTTCTAATTTTAATTTTGTTTTGTTGTTAACTGCCACAATTGCATTCAATCGCAGGCTAATTATCAGTTATAAAACACATTCATGCATGACTTTACCGATTGCTGTTCACCAGTTATTTTTTTTATTTCTTTTTAGTGTTAAGAATGTTACCTTGGTGAAAAATGGGAAAACATGCAATGATCGTTATTTCAATTCCAAAACTTGGGTTACATGATTTTTAGACGACTATTGTTTACTATTTTGGTTTATGGTCTTAAAATTATATTTGATTATGTACTTCCTTATACATGTGTACCTTTGCATCTTATTGCTAAAATTTTCTTAAATTTAAACTGAGTAAAACTCCGTTAGGGAAATTTTTATTGCTAAAAAAAATTTTGGGGGTTCCGGGGACTAAAAAAAAAGGGTTAACAAAAACCCAAACCCATTTTTTTTTACATTTTAAAAACGTCCCAAGGAAATTAAATTTTCCCGATAAAAACTTTTATTTTTTAAATCTTTATTTTTTAAGGATATTTTTTCTTTTTTTGGGTTAATTTAAATTTTTTTAAGAAGCGGGGATTAGCACTAATTTACACACAAAAATTTTACTTTGCAAATATATCATGGGTTTTAAAAAACCCTTTGTTTAAAGAAAAAACCAAAATTAAAAAAATTTCACAGAAATTCGGGGGAAAGGGAAAGTTCTTTGAAAAAAAAACTATAATTTTAAAAAAGGTTTTTCTTTGGGAAAATTATTTAAAAATGAAACCCAAATTCCACGTATTTGTTCAAAACGGGGGGGGGCCCTCTCAAAAAAAGAAAAAAGGGGCTTTTTTCCCAAATAAAATTTCCTTTCAATTTTTATTTTTAATTTTTTTAGGGTTTTTTTCCCAAATTAAAATTTTTGGATTTTTCCAAATTTTAAGTTTTAAAATGATTTGGGAAAAAATAAAAAATTTTTTTAAATATTTCTTTTTTTTTTAACGTGTGAATCTATTAAAAAATTTAAACTAGGGGGTTTCCTTTAATGCGAAAAAAAAGGGTTTATTTTTTCCCCCCGTTTTTTCATAAAAATGGCACGGAAGTTTTTCAGTTTTAAAAGGGGTTCCCATGAAAAAAACCGGGCAAAACCCCATTTTCTGTTTAATTTTTTTAAAATTTTAAAAAGGGAATTTTTCCCCATTTATTTTTTTAAATTGGAAAAAAAATTGGGTTTTAAAAGGTTGTTTGGGGGGCTTGGGCCTTGGGTTTACATTTAAACCCAACCAAACGGGGCTTTTTTCCAAAACAAAACCCTCGGCCTTTTCCCCGGGGTTTTTGGGGACTTTTTGGGACTTTTTTTAAGGGGATTTTCTTTTTCCCTTTTATTTTACCCTTTTTTAAATTAAAAAATTTAAAAAGAAGGGGGGTAAAAAAAAAACACTATAGAAAAATACATTCATTTTGTTTCGAAAAAAAGGAAAAGGGGATATTTTTTGGGCCCCACAGGTAAGGGGCCCTTTTTCAAAAACATTTTTAAAACAGAAAAAACCATTTTCTTCAGCTTTATAATTTTTTGGGTTTTAAAGCTTGGCCCAAAAATTTTAATTTTCCCTGATCAAGTAAAAAGGGAAAGAATAAAAAACAATTGGAAAAATAAAAAAAATTTTTTAAAAAAAGTAAAAACCCTTTCGAAAAAATGACTCATTAAAAATTTAAAAAAAAATTTAAATCAATGGGGAATATTAAAGGTTTGAAGCGAAAAATTTTCCCCCCATTTTTTAAAACAAAGGGAAAAAAAAAAACCTGGGGAGGAAAAAGCCCCGGGGGAAAAAAGGGAAAAAAATTTGGAGGGGGTTCATAAAAATTTAAGCTTTTGGTTAAACCCCCAATAAAAATTTCAAAAAAACAGTTTTTTTTCAATATTATTTTTATACTTTAAAACCCAAAATTGGGGAAAATTTTTTGAGAAAAAAAAATTGGGGTTATTTTCTTTGGCCCGTTTTTTTTCACATTTTAAAAAAATTTTTTTTTCGCTGAAAGGGGAAAACCATTTTTTATTTTGTTTTTTCCCACGGGGAAATCTTGTGGGAATTTCCATTCTTAAAAAATTTCCCCCCCTTTTACCCCAAATTTTTTAAAAAGGAAAAATTTTTTTAAATTTTTTCAGGTTTTAAAAAAAAAAAAAATTTTGGGCATAAAAAAAACCAAGGAAAATTTTTTTTCAATCCTTTCTATAAAAAAAACCAGGATTTTTTTTTCATTTTTGGGTGGTAGGGAATTTTTTTAAATTTTTTTCCATCCCGCTCAAAAAAAAATTTAACCCTGTATTTAAAAGGAAAAACCCTAAAATATCCTCTTGTTTTTTCCGATTAAAAGAAAATTTTTAAAATTTATTTTAAATTTGGGGAAATTTAAAATTTAATTTTTTAAAAAAATTTTGGGGGAAAAATTAAAAAAAATTTTTCTTTGGGACCGAATGTTTTTATTATGTCAAAACCCAAAGCGTTATAATTTCCATTTGAACGGGTTAAAAATTTTCAAAAAAACCCAGGGAAAATTTTGGGGAAAAATTGTTTTTTAAATTTTATATTGCCTTTTTTAAAATAATAAAATCCTTTTTTCCCAAATGAAAAAACCCAAAGGGAAAAAAGGGTCTAAAACCCATCTTTTAAAAATTTAAATCGATAGGGTTTTCAATTTTTAAAAAAAGTTTTTTGGGTAGTTTTAAATTTGGTTTTAAATCCCATCAAAAAAACTTTTTTTTCCCCCTTTTAAAATAAATTGGGTTTTCGGGTCACCTTTTTTGAAAGCCCAATTTTTTTATTTACTTTATTAAAAAAACCCAAAAAAGGGGCAAAATAAAAGCAAAAAGGTTATTTTGGAAATTAAAAAAAGGTTTTTCCCAACCCGGGGAAAAGGGCTCGGGGATTTTTGGCCCAATGGGGGGAAATTCTTTTTTTTTCATTTTCCCCTTTAGTCTTAAAAAAATTCTTTTGGGGGTTTTTTTGCTTTACGGGGAAAGTAAAAATAAAAAAAAAAAAGTGGGGGAAAGAAAAAAGGGTGTTATTGGGGAACTTAAAAAGATTTTTTTGGGACACTTGATTTTTTTAAAAAAGCTTTCATTTTAAATTTGAAAAAAAAGGGTTTTTTAATATAATAAAATTTTAATTTCCCTTTTTTTCCCAAAAAATTTTTAAAAAAGGAATTTGAAGGGGGTTCAACTTTTGCACTCATTGGGTTTCCTTAGTTTTGGGTTCATTTTTTTCCACTTTTTGAATAGCCTTTCCCTTGATTTGAGAAAAAAATTTTTTCCCCTTTTAAATTTTAAAAATTTTAAAAGTTTTTCCATTTTTTGGTAAAACCAGTTTCTTTAAAATTAAAATTACAAAAAAATAGGGGGAAATTTCCCAAAAAAATTAAAACATAAAAAGGGACATCCTTTTTCCAAATTTTTAAAAAAATCTGTTTTTAATTTTCAAAAGGTTTCTATCGTTTTAAAGGGTTAAAAAACATAAAAAAAAAGTTTGTTTTAAAAATTAAATGTTATTATAAAATTTTGGGGGGGAGATTTGTTTTTTAGGGGAAAATTATTTTAAAAAAAAATGATTAGGGGCTGTTTTTAAGGGAAAAGGGCCCCAATGACAAGGGAAAAAAAAAAATTTTTTAATTGGGGTCTTTGGGTCTTTGGGTTTAAAAAAACTTTTAAAAGAAGCGTTTTAATTTTATTACGGAAACCCAAAAAAACGGGAAAAATTTTTTTAAAATAGGGTTTAATTTTTATTTGGGTTTTTGTTCCCCAGGGAAAAAAAGGGGGAAAATTAAAGGGGGCCCCATTACCCCCCGGGAAATATTTTTTATTTTCAAAAAAGTTTTTTTTTTTTTGGGTTTTCCTTTTTAAAATTTTAAAAAACATATTTTAACGTTCCCAAATTTTCATCTAAACAATATTTTGCTTTTTTATTTTGCTTTTTGGAAAGGGAGAAACAATAAAAAGTATTTATATTTTTAAAAGGGTAAAAATTACATTTCTTTACTTTAATTTTCCCCTACTTTTAGGGGAAAAAAAAATTTCTCATTCCCCTTAAAAATTTTCCTTCTTGTTAAAAAAAACTTTTTAACTTTTACTCAAAACCCCGGGTATTTAAACCCCCCCAAATTAAAAATTTACCTTAAAAAACCCCGTTTTTTTAAAAGAGAAAAAAATTTTTTTTTTCTTTTTAAAATTTGGGCTTTATTTCCCTTTTTAGTAATTAGATTTATATGAAAAAAGAAAAAAAAAACCCGCCCCCCGTGTTCCCAAAAAAAAAAAGGGAAAAGGGGAACTCTTTTTTTGATGAAAAAAATTTTTCCCCCCTTTTTCAAACATAAAACTTTTTTTTTTAAATATACTTTAAATAAAAAAAACCTTTTAAATAGAAAAAAAAAGGGTTTTTAAATTTTAAAAAAAAAAACTTTTCTTTACCCGGGGACTTCGTTTTTAAATTTTGCAAAAACCCAGGGGGAAATTGGGGACCGTTTAAAAGGGGCTATAAAACTGGCAAAATTTTTAAAAGGCTTTTTCTTAATTTTTCCGGGAAAAAAAAAATTAAACCCTGGGAATTAAAAAATTGGAAAAAAAATCCCCTTGCCATTGTTTTTGCATAGTTTTTAGGGTCTAAAAATTTTTAAAAAAAATTTAAAACCCAAAAAAAATTCTTTTTCCGGAAAATTATTATTATCGCTTTTAAAGGGGTTTTGAAAGGATTTTAAATTTGGAAAATTAACCCTTATTATCTTATTAAAACTGAAAAATTTACTGATTTTTTTAGCGTGGGTTTAAACCTTTTTTTCCAAAACCTATTTTTTCACTGTTTTTTTTTAAACTTTAAGGGGGGGGATTTAAAGAAATTTTTTTAAAAATTAATTTGCAAAGTTTTTTAAAAAAAGGTTTTTTAAATTTTTCAAATATGGCTAAAAAAACCCTTTAAAAAGGAACCCGGGGGCAATATAAAAGTTTTAAAAATTTTAAAAGAAACCGATATTTTTAAAAATTAAATAAAACGTAAAAAAGGTTTTTAAAAAAAAATTTTTTCTTAAAAAATTTTAAATTGTTTGCTTGTTTGGTTTGGTAAAAAAAAAAAGGGGCTGGAGCAAAAATTTAATTTGGGATTGCCCAAAAATTTGGTTTGGGGAATTAAAAACTTTAATTTTGAAAAAAAAACCCGGGGAGTTTTTTTTATTTTTCATGTCTAAATGCGGGGGGCAAAGGGGGTCTTTTTTCCGGGCCCCGATTTTTGGCAAAAAACAGTTTTGAAAAAAACCCTTTTTAAAATATGGGCAATTATTTTGTAAAGGGAAAATTTATCCCGAAAAACCCCCGGGAAAAAAAAATTTTCGAAAACTTCATTTAAATGGGGTTTAAAGACTAAACCCCCCCAAGTTTTTAGGGGGTTTTACGGGTTTGTTTTAAACAATGGTCCCCCATTTTCATATTTTTTGTTTTCATGTCAATAAAGGGAATTTAAGGGAAAAAAATTGTCTTTTTTTATAGTAAAAAAGGCGGGAAGGGTTTTGAAATTTATAGCCCAAAAAAAAAAGGAACCCCGGCAAAAATCAACTCAGAAAATTTTTTTAAAAAAGAAAATTTTCCCCCCCACTAAATAAAAAATTTTTAAAAATTTAGGGCCGGGTTTTTTTTCTTTAATGCTTTAAACGGGTCCTTTTGGTACTGTATGAACTCGAGTAGGGGAAATTCTTTTTCCTCTTCAAAAATCCCTTTTTTGATTAGGGGGGCCTTTTTCGGGTTTTAAAAAACTGCCCCTTTATTTTTTTTTAAAAAAAAATTGGCGGCGGGTTTCCTTCCTCACTTTTGGTTAAAATCCTAAAAGGGGCTTTTTCGGGGGTTTTTTTGGGGCAATTTTTTTTCATTTTTAAAAATGGGGGTTTTTCTCTTTAAAATTTATTTTGTTTGGGTTTTTTGGCTTTTGGAAAAATTTTTAAAAGTTAAAAATTTTTTCTGGGGGGCTTTTTTGAAAAAAATGAAAAAAGGACTAAAATTTTAAGGAAAAAACCAATGGAACATTAAAAAAAACCAGTGAGGAAAAAGGTTTAAAAAAAAAAAAATTTTAAAAATTTAAAATTTTAACCAATAAGTTTAAAATATTTTTTATATTTTTTATACAAACTATTGAATTTTTGTGGTGTCTCAGTCAAGGGAGCTTAATGATGAATTTAAAATCAATTGTTAATTGAGCTACTCCCCCAGCGTAACAGTTCCAAACTTGTGAAATTTATGTCTTGGAAATTTCTCGTAAAATATACACTGAATTACAGCTTTTGTATACACACCACTCTTGCGCATATTGTATTTCAGGCACTTTGGTTGTGTTGAACTTAATTCATTACATTTTTTATAATTGTGTAAATAAAACGTTATTTTACCTAGCCAATTGTACAGCACAAAACAATTGATGTTGTTGTTTCTCATAATGATGTACTTAAATAAATGTACTAAAGCACTGGCTTCGAAATGGAACCCTTTCATGAGGTGTATAAATCATATTAACCGAAACATTTTGAATAAAATAAGAAAATAAACTTTATACTTTGTGCATGTTTCTAATAATATATAGTTTTGTAATTGTTGGTTATATAGATGAAAATATATCATAAAAATAGGTTTTATTGATTTGTTAATTTGTAGTGAGAGACAAAAGTATACAACAATATATTTCTGCAATATATCTCTAAACTTTATTAATTGAATGTATAAAACTAATTATGGTGCAAAAATCAGTTAATGTACCATTTTCTACAAAAATTAAACGAGAGCATGTAATGAATAACATTAAGATAATAAACGATACATGCAATACTTTTTTTTATTCCCAAGGGAGCCCTAAATTATAGCAACTATAGATATAGAATGCTTAGTAGTAAACTTGCGTACTGAATAACCTTGAACTTTGGTTAGATATTAGTTAATAGAATTTTAATTCTTTATTACAGAATCGTTCAAAACATCATTTGAGGAAACAAGAAAAAACCTGACAAGTGACATCGAGGCTGAAAAAGAGAAACTTTTTCAACTCCAAGGTATGGTTACCTGTTGTACATCAATTGTGTTTGATTTCTATTTATCTACAACTATTCACAGCAAATTAAATTGTTGTTTACTTTACATGTTTTATCTTGGTATATCACGTGGCCAATGATATTTATAACAAACAATGTTGATATAAAAATATGTTGCTCCATATGTAAATTTCTAACTCTCATAAGACGTCCAGATGATTTTGTTGACATTCACACATTCTAGTTTGTAATTATTTAAACTCTACCAATATTGGCCTGATACAAATATAAGCTTTTTTACTAAAATTGGCCCCTTGATTTAGATATCTTAGATATAAAATACAATAGTATTATTTCTATCCTCAGGAAAACTCGAACAACCTCCAATCGCATTCTATGCACATCACTTGAAAGACATGCTTCTTGATACTACGAATGAGGTTCTCATATTCGAGAAGACATTCACTAACGAGGGAACAGGTTACGACACGTCTACGGGATTGTTCACAGCACCTGTTGGAGGACTGTACCAGTTTGATGTTCATACATGCGCTAGGTATAGTAAATATGCACATCTTGGCCTGGTGATGGAAGGTAGTGTTATTGCAGCAGATGCTAACTATGGTGATGACTCTTCTGGCTGCAATAATTTTGGTGCTATAGTGAGAGTAAAATTAGGAGAAAAAGTTTGGGTCAAATCAACATCGTCAGGTTCTACCCGGGAGCTTATCCAAAATACATATAGGATGAACACATTCAGTGGAATGCTTGTCAATAACTGAATTATAAAATAAACCAATTAACATAGATTTGAGTAAACATCTGATTTCAGTCTGAATACTTGATGTTTAACTTGAACATTTTAATATAAATTGTTTTAATTCATTTTTAGACTAATTATCAGATCAAATAGAAAGTTTTTTTGAAATTGTTGTAAATCATCGATTCATCTATGATAAGTCGATATATTGTAAAGACAATCAATCATGCAATGAAGTTGTTTGCATATAATTAATATGACCAACTTTTTTTATTGGAATATAAAAAAATAAGAATTGAAAGTTGGTCGATTTTTTTTACAAAAGTGTACAGAAAGCATATGCAAAATATTCTGGTGTAGTTTTTGCTTCAAAGTATCAATAAGCAGTTAGATTTCTTTAAATAATATACAATTAATACATTTCAGTAACATTAAATATATTTCAAAGTATTATAGATTACCGGTACTAATCTGTAATTTGTAATATATTTTGATGAATCAAAATGCAATGGTAACGCATAATTATGCACAAATATGTCAAAATGGTGAGAACAGTTCACTGAGTAAATAATTTGATATATTTTTAAGCAAATCGAATAAAAGATAAATTGATATACTAGTATATGGCTGCATAATTATGTTGTTTATAATATTTGGCATACTTGAGACATATGTCATACTATATGTGATAATGTAAAAGAAAATAAGATTGTTAAAAACAGGAACACTTTTTATGAGAATTTAATTTCGTGAATGGTGCACCGAAAACTTGTTGCCTAATAAAAAGTATCTAAATATAAGATTATTTAGATAACATTTAGGAAAATAACACTGTTCTGATATCAATTAGTTTGACAATTCAAATTATCAGACTAATTAACTGATATATATCGGAGAAATGAAATTCTTATTTCATAATTCAGATATATAATAACCAATTTACTTTTAAGTAATTATTTGATTAATCTTATATCAAATAACTCACAATTAAAATTCGGATTCAGTACAACATTTATACCATGTTATAAAGTTTGAAAACCTGGACAAATAAATTTAATAATATGTATATATGAACAAACACAATATAGTCTTTTTATTTCAATACAGCTGTTCTGCAACTTTTATTTTCTGTTCCCTGAAAATGAATATCAATATACAAGTGTCGGGTAGCTGAAATAAAAAAATTAGGTCACATCTGTCCAACTATTTTTGGAAAGGACAATATTTGAATTACCCGATATAAAGGGGTCAGATTAATCCAATCAAAATTGTAGTACAAACAAGGTTTACAACCTTAAGGTTCGATCAAACAATGAACAACCAGCCAGAGTAATGACTTATGAATGAAAGGTCACAAAGGTCAACCAGTGAAAATACACATGTAAACAAACCCAAAATTCACTGAAAACAACTTTAAATTCAACAGTCAAAGGATCTGGAATTAAATCGGATTTCAATCAACCAGCACGGAACGATGAAATGATGAATTTATAATAATTCTAAGCAGTAATTGCCGTCTATATCAAACTGCCAAGTATTAATTAAAGATGGATTAAAGGAAGTATATAGATATTAATATAAGAGGAAATTTATGTAATCATGCAAGGAGATCTTCCACCATGTGTAGTGAACCACTCGTTTTCTTTACAATAAACACACTTGAACAAAAAATTATACTGGGTCACAACTTAAAAATATTACTATTAATAGCGAAATTCTTGGTTCGAAATGATAAGCTATTAATTATCTATAAAATTCTTGGTTCGAACTTTTACATATCAAGTTACATATATATAAAATATTTTTCCAAAAATTTAGATCCACACAGGTTTTAAAGGTAGAACTAATAGGTAGAACTAATAGTAGTATTATTTATTCTAACTATAACCAGAAAGATTTATGTATATGATTGAAATATTACTTAAATTAAAATTATTTATATAAAATATCAGATATATTTATTTAATATTACTTGAAAATTAAAGAAAGCAATTTACTTAATTCTTAGAAATGCTTTAAATAACGTCAATTATCAAAATGTGTAAAAATAAAAATAATGTGACCCAGAAAAAATGTAGTTTACTATTCTAAACTCACCAACTGTTGACACAGGATTTATACAATGACACCACTACCCACAGACTGTCCAATATATACACAAACACAGTTCCTCTTGAAAAGTCACACACTTGAGAAGTCACACCACGAGATCCACTTCCAATGCTGTTGTTGATGATGATCTAGCTCTATCTTGAAGAAATATCAATAAATTGAATAATAACACGTCTATACAAATGAATTCACCAGCTATTCAACTGTCGACTTTAAAATATCTGTAACTTACAAGTCTCTGATCACGTTGGGCGCCATTCTAGCAGATTGGGGTTTTACATAAAACCAAGTCTTGGATTGGTTCACATATATTCTGCTTTATTTACCAGTGGGTCCACTCAAAGACATATACAAATATTTATAGACAAGTCTGTATACCACTGTACAATACCATATAATACTGTACTGTCTGGATCTGAAACAATAGTTAAACAAAAAGTGTTAACCATTTGATATCAATGATATCAAATGTACAAGATATCAAAGAGATATCATAGTCAAATATCATACAAAATACAATATTAAGTTATTCAATATGCAAATAGCATTATACATTACTTAATTAACTGTAAGTTAATAACTGTATCCTTATCCTATGAATCCAGAACAATACAAACATTATAACCATAAACTTTATAATACATTACATCAAAATAATAAGATTAAAGATTAAAATATCAAATAGTGATGATGTCTTGTGGTGTAGTGGTCTGTACCTTTAAATACATGTTAATTAACAAGTCCAGAATAGGCTTAAATAATATTTTACAATATCATGTTTACAACAACAATACAAAAGTTACATACCTTGTTTGTAAAACAAGTACATTGACAAAACACTCCACTCCACTGTCAACTGTCACACTGTGAATAACTACTGTGCTGTAATGTTAAATTGGTCATATTCATGCAAGATGTTAATAAGAAGTAAAATGGCAGTTGTAGACCAGCAATTACAATGCTTTTTCGCGAGTGTCAAAACCGACAATTGAAACGCGAAGAAATACCAAAATACAACATCAACAACCGAACAATCCACAATGTCATACAACCAGTACAAAGTACAAACCTTATACCAACCTCAATCCTATATCCAACCTATTAAATCTATATCAAATCCTTACAAACTTAAATTAATCAACATCAACCTTTTACAACGACTTAACTGAAGTTAAACATGGCGGCTTCTCCCGCAATGCTATACCATGTGACCACAAGCCATTGAAACGCAAGTTCCGATTGGACGAGACAAAACGAAAGAGCCAATCAACAATAAGGAAAGTCCGTGGGAAATATTGATGACAGTTCACCTTTACGAACTTTAAAGACCCACCACGTTGGATTCAATAAATGATTTAAAGACCCATCATGTTTAAAAAATGATAAATAATGAAAAGTTAAGAATTTAATAACTTGTTAAAATTCACATCTGCTACACAAGGATCCTTAATATTATATTGAACTTAATGATAACATAAAACTGTATTCTTTTATTTCATGTTATCTCTCTATTGTTTATTACGGTTTATCTATATCGGAAAGACATCAAATTATGTTGATAATATCATAATAATCTTTATTGAAGTGTTATTCATACATAACAAGATATAAAATACTTCAACTGCATAATGTTATAAGATAAAATTTGTTTGTGTTACAATTCTGAATTTACAAGAGACTGTTAAAGCAACAAAATGGAAGTGAGGCAACTCCCAAAGTTCATACTGCAAGTATTTACAACATACTTCGCAGAGTCACATCCCTTCCCATTCCATTTTCATACAAAAAATACGGATAAAGTGAGATCCGTCTGAAGAATAAAATCACAACAAAATATCATGAAAGTTGCCGATTCCGTTTGATTGCGTCTGTACATGCATGATTATGAAAAAAGTGAAACATTCCTCACGCCCCTAGCATCGACTTAAAACAATTGATAATCTTGTTTTGAAGGAACTTCTGATAATATTGCTTTGTAATGAACACCCAATCAATGTTTTTCTAATTTTAAACATTTATCGTAAACAATTTTTGAACTTATAAGAAACAGATTCTTTATTTGTAAAACCATTTACTAAATAAAATTATTTTACACCTCTGAACAGATAGAACATTAAATAAATAAATGTACATATACACTAAAAGACTTTTCTAACGTATATTGCATTTGCTTAAAACCTGAGTAGCAGTTACTAATCATAAAACCTTGAGTTTCATACGATGATAATATAGTACAAATATTCTACATTTAATGGTAATATTATATTCTCATGGTTATTAATCATTATGAATACACTGTTATATATGGTATCTCTTTTGGTCTTGTCAGACATACTCGGTTACATGAAAAGATTGACGTGTGTACATGCAGGAAAAGAAAATAAAAAACGTAATAATAATAATAAAAATGAAAACAAAGAATTATGAAAGATTTCTTACAGTATTTCTGTCACAAAAAAACAGAAGACAAATTCTAAAAGGGATAATAGTGTTAAAAGACTGCACTTAGCAATGACTCCAACATCCCTATATTAAAACTTACCATAAAAATAATGGTAAGCCTATTTAGTTAAGACATGTTAGATTTATTTGATTGGCTTATCAAATTCAAAGAAATAATCTTAGAAGCGGTTGTTTCGGTTTTTAATAAGTTCACAATATGACACAATTTTATGCTCGTTTTGTGTGTTGTTCCACAAGTTAAATGACATAATACATAATACGAGGTTAAACGTTGAAGAAAATTTCCAAATGTAAAAATTGTAATTTAATTTCATATCAAACAAATACAAGAAGAATATGTCCTGGACAAAGTTTGATTTTTGTGATTTAAATGACGTCCATTTATTTAGTCCATATACCGTCATTTGAAACATGACACAATTCAGCAAAGACATCTGGAAATCTCTAGAAGAATTTCCACTCGAAGTCGCTTAATGTCTCTCTTAGTTAGGCCTTTTTCTAAACACAAATTAAATACAACCAACAACATGCCAAACAGTGAAAATACTACTGAATCTCCTCGAAAAACTCCAAAGCTCTTGAATGCAACATGAGAATTTAAAAGTAGTTTCATATTGATATTTCAACACGTGTCTATAGTAACAGTATAAAGCAAGTACTTGATATAGACAAATTGCGCAATAAGCATTTTTTATCATCGCTTTTACATAGGAAATCAGAGCTCTTTTATTGGGAATGTATTTACGTGTTAGTTGGATATCGGCTTCGTTCATTGATATTTATGTTAAGGAAAGTCCTTGTTACAAATTTAGTGAAATTTATGGCCAGGTTTTACATCAACCGGACGGCCTTGTACTTGTTGATATCCTATACATACAATAGGTATTCCTAACTTTCCTGGGGTATCATGGATTGATGCCTATGGTTGTTTACCTTTACGTTGAGATTTACAACTTTGTTGTGATCAGGACAATATGTCATTACTGGTCGTTCTTTAATTGTAATTACGCTTTTAGAAATCACGGGTGGCATAATTTCGTTTAGAAGACAATGCAAATATTTGATAGTGTTTTCTAAAAATCATGATTAGTTTCCTGCGTATATAACTGTGCTTTTTTCTATACCTTTTAACTAGAAAATTCTTCAAATGTCGAGTTAATTTCAAATATTTTTCTTTGCATTGCAGATTTTTCAAATTGTTTTAAATATAAAAAAACGGAATAAACTATGAGTAAATAAAAAAGTTCAAAAAAGAGTCCATAAGTTGCTCTTTATAAAATATTTCACGTGTTCACGTACGGAATTCAAACTATTAATGAATAGTGTTTGGTACGGGGATTTATTTTCAGTAAAATTGAATTCTTACGTTAAGCATTTACTTAAGTATTACCTTCCCATAATAAATCAGTATACATGTACTGTTAAACTATTTATATTAAATTTATTTTGCTTTTGTATCCTTACACGCGATTACGTCAATAGTTTACATCGTTGCTTATTTTTTGGAAACTCTGTTTTGTTTTCTAAAGAAAAAAAAAACTGTTGTCAGAGATGGCTTTATTATATCTAAATAGTTTGAAAAAAGAAATTATGAACTACACTTTAATGACTACTTTAATCGTTTTTGACAATTTGATTTCATTTTTAATCTTTAGGCTTGCTGCTTAAACATCATTCCAGTATGCAATACACTATTTTTATAATATAAACAGCCATAAAATGTATAATCACATGCTATCTTAATTAAAAGCAAGTTTTACAGTTTTTACCTTTTCATAGAGATGACAAGTGACGTTAAACCTGATGAGTTCAAATAGTGTTTTATATATTTTTCGAAAGACTGCCTGGGTTATGTAAATTGATTTTATAAAAAAATTTTAAGCCAGAAAAAAAATTCCCATCTTTTTGGTTTCCCTCTTTATTTTTTTACATTTCAAAATCACGAGTTTAAATTTTCTGCGTTTTTACTAGGAATACGCCGAAAATACATAAAAAAAAAAGAACCCAGAAAAAACAAAGAAAAAACCCTTTTTTTTTTCCAAAAATTTTTTTTTTAACCCTTATTTTTTCCATTTTTTAAAATTTTCCATATAATTTTCCCTAGGATAATTGTGTAAATATTTCTGGTAGTTTTGTGTCACTGATCATTAAGGCTCCCACGTTTACAATTTTTGTAAACGTTTACACGACTGCTAAGAACCGAAACGATACCGTTTAAACGGTGATACCTCTATGTACTATACACACCATGTATTTGAGTCGCCAAATGATGTCTTTCTTTCTATTTTTAATACATGTAAAAATAAAGAATGTGCAAGGCTCATCACGATTGAGTCAGCACACATTTTTTGCAATTTAACCCCATTTTTTACCAAAAGTGTATTATGTCACGAGCAATTTTGCACGGTAATGCTGTGTGGAGGGTTGTAAACACCCATTTTCCGTTTGTTTACTTTGGAATAAACCACTAGAATTGATAAAATCCATGATTACAGGCAATGATTAAGAAATTTTGTAAGACAATATAGTCATTTCGATTAAACGGTAAACAATATCGTAAACGTTTATGAATGAAAATCGAAACGAATCCGTTTAAACGTGTAATCGTGGGGGCCTTACTGATCATATTGAACGGCGTTCTTCCTTGTTGATCTTTGTATATATTACATTGAAAATGGGTAATCATAAAAAAATCAGGCATTCCTTAGAAGATTAGGGATTTGAATTTCCAGTATGGAATCTATTTAATTCCCTGGTATTTTAGTGGCACCATACAATTCATGTGTAGAAATCAAGCAAATCAGTTAGATGATTATGAAACCTACTGTCATTTAGAAATTAATCGTTTGTTAACCTGTAAGCGTTATCATTCAAGATTTATGCCACAGGATGACAAAATGTGCAGTCTACCTTGATTCAAACTGAAAACCTCGGAATACTTCTCTAATTTGTCAACAATAAGTAAACTGTACAGTCTTCAACGCTAACGTGACTGAAGGATCGAAACTGTAACAACACGGATGTGAAATACGGAGCAATATTGTACATCTGCAACAAGACACTTGAAAAAGCTAGCATTATAAATATAAGCTGTCAAAAGTCAGTTTTAAAAAGGCAGGCAAAAATATCCAAGGGATTTTTAAAAAGGTATTCGGGAGAAATTCGGGATTGCCTAACTAGGCAAATAAAGTAACATACAAAGCACAAAAATTTTTGCGTCTAAACGGCCCCAAAAAATTCAATAAACCATCTAAATTTTAAAAACGGGGGGACTTTTAAAAGGCCCGATGGGGAAAAAACCTACACTTTGTCTTTGATTAGTCCTTTTTTATAACCCCTATAGAGACTTTTTTTAAATATTAATAAAATAAAAGGCAAAAAAATGAATGCTAAGGAAAACAAAAAAGGTTTTTAGAATAATCTATTTAAAAAGTTTATACAAAAATATTTTGAAAAAAGGTAAATTTTTTTTTACTAAAAACTCTTTTTTTTACCTAAATATTTAACCGGAAAGTACTGATAAAATATGCAATTAATGTTAATATATTTTTGCATTTTCTTTATCGTTTATTGTTGTTCAATCGTTGGTCATATAGGTCTTCATTAATGTATTTTAATAATGGGTATTGATTTATTGAATGCAGTAAAAACAATATAGATATAACAAGTTAAAAATATTTATAAAGTTAAATCATTATTTTTGCAAATTAATTGATAATTTATACACAATGGTTTACAAACAATGACATTTTCGCCTAAAATGTCTATAAACTGTTTTCAAATGTTAGAATATGACATTACTTTGTTGTCGAACTTGATAAACATTGTTTTCAATTCCATTCTAAGCACGTATTGAATGACATTAAAATGATATACGATACATCTCCAAGAAAAATCGACTGTTTATAAAGCTATAATAGAGAAATGAATCTTTAAAGAAAAGTGTTTACTGAATAACCTTGGATTTTGGTAACGATAAGTTAGTAGAACTTTAATCCTTTATTACAGAATCGTTCAAGAAACTTTTTGAAGAAACAAGAAACAACCTCAGTATTGGCATTGACTCCCAAAAAAAGGAACTTATTCAACTTCAAGGTATCATGTCTTACTTTGTTTCAACGTCACCTGTGTAAGATTGTATTTCATTTATTATCAATTTGTATTACAATTTAAAATGCAAAACTATTATTTCTATACTCAGGAAAACTTGAACAACCTCCGATCGCTTTTTATGCACATCACTTGAAAGACCTGGTTCTTGATTCTACAAATGAGATTCTTATATTCGAGAAGACATTCACTAATGAGGGAACAGGTTACGACACGTCAACGGGATTGTTCACGGCACCTGTTAGAGGACTGTACCAGTTTGATGTTCATACATGTACTTTAAATGATAAATATGCAAATCCTGGCCTGGTGTTGGAAGGTAACATTATCGCAGCACATGCACACTACGGTGATGCAATTCATAGCTGTGGTTCATTTGGAGCAATAATAAGAGTTAGATCAGGAGAAAAGGTTTGGGTCAAATCAACATCATCAGGTTCTAACCGCCAGCTATATCAAGGCTATCATTGGATGAACACATTCAGTGGAGTACTTGTCAGTTACTGAATTATAAATTAATCAATAAACATTGATGGCAGTAAAATCTGGTTTCAGTGTTTAACGTAAACGTTTTGATTTAAACTGCTTTAATTAATTTTGAGACTCTTTATAACAGTAGTGTTTTGTAAAATAAGTCGAAAATTGTCGATTTATCTATGCTGTGTCTATATATGCTGTGACGAAAATTATTAATGCAATGTTTTAGTTTGCATAATGTTAATATTAGTTTTTATTACCCTTCCAGATTTTTTCCGCCTTTTTGATTGGATATTGATCACCCGAAAGAAATTGATAATTACCAAACCAGACGGGTAATATACACACTAACTTTTCCCGTTGGGTACCCCGCGTTGGAAATAAGATGGGCTGTGGCGATGCGCGTACGGTTTGGTTTTATGTGATGTAAATTCCGATTTACAAGCACTTTTTAACTGTCAAATGATAAATATTTACCAAAATAGAGTAATGATACGTATTCTCATTAGAATTGAAAACAAATATGACCTTGTGAAAGCTTGATATTTGTTCCAAAAAAGTGCGTTCAACAGACGGTTTACATTCCTTAGGTTTGAAAGAAAATACGTCATGTATTTATGTGACGTCATATTGTGGTGAAGGGGTACCCCAAAGGGAATCTTATTTCGACGTTTCATTTGAAGTAGCAATGATTTATTTTAAAATCGTCTTAACTCGGCAGAGGAAGGGTAATAAAATTATTATTTTGGTTTTGGAGTGATATATGTGGATATATTACCTGCCAAGGATATAAAATCCTGACAGGTAATATATCCACATATAGCACTCCAAAACCAAAATAACATATAATGTTAGTATCTTATTATGTTCATATAGGTTTTGTTTGTATCTATTTAGCAATTGACGTTTCTATGTTTATGAAACAATAAATTTACACCAGTATGTCACATTTGAAACGCTTTACATTATAGTTATAACCGCTATGAATGCAAAGTGTAATTAAGAAAACCTACATTTTATTTTACGAAAGGACCACCCAAGGAAATGCAGTTTCCTATATTTAGTTAGTGTAATCACTTATTAAAATTATTCAATAAAAATGATCTAGATTTAAATGATTTCTACAACACATGTAATTGTTGTCATGATGTGTATCACCTGACAACCTTAACACATCTCGTTCTATAAAACAATATTTTTGAATGTCACTGCACATAACATTGAGTTATGTCCCCTTTTCAGTGGATTACAAAGAAATTCATGATTTGTTTAAATTAGCCTACGATCTATACTCTACCATCTAACTATTGCGCATATTTCAAAATTAAGATATCTTTACCATAAGCTATAAAATCAATGTTATTCACTTTTTGTGCCCAACTATAGTGGGTTGCATTTAGATTTACCCATGCCAGTCCGTTCGTGCGTCCGTTCTTATTTTGTGTCGGATGAAGCTCTAAAAATGCTTGTGCTAGAGTAAAAAAAATTACAGAAATGTTGATCAGCATGTGAAATAATGCACCTAGGGTTTCGCTTGTAGATTAATTATGTTTTGTCAGAGTTATTGCCCTTGACTTAGTAAAATTTCGTGCGTAGCTAAAGACATATTTGACTTACAGTCCTGAAACTTTATAGGAATGTTGATCAGCATGTGTAGTTGTCCTCCTGGGCTTTCGCTTGTGGATTTATTCAGTATATGTAGAGTGATTGCACTTGAGTAATGAGTTAAATGTTGCAATTTCAACATTTGTCGGTGTAGCTCAAAAAGTATTTTATCTTGAGTCATGAAACATTACAGAAATGTTGGTCAGCATGAAAAGTTGTGCAGTTGATGTTTGCGTGTCGATTTATTCAGTACATGTATTTATCACCCATTGTTTAGTAAAAATTTGCAATTTTCAACTTGTGTCTCGCGTATCCCAAAATATATTTTGCCTAGAATCATTAAACTTTATGGACATGTTGATCAGAAGGTTTTGTTGTGCACCTGGGGATCTTTATTGTCCTTAACTCAGTAAAAATAAATTTGCAGTTTTCATCCAATGTCGCGGGTAGCTCAAAAAGTATTTGCCCTTGAGTCATGAAACACTATAAGATTGTTGATCAGCATGTGAAGTTGTGCACTTGGTGTTTCGCTTGTGGATTTATTCTGTTATCTTTTTAAGTAAGTGCCTTTATTTTCAAATTTTGTGTGTGTAGCTCAAAAAATATTTGACCTAGTATCCAGGAAGTTTTCAGGAATGTTGATCAACATGTGATGTTGCGCACCTGGGATTTCGCTTGTGGATTTTTTTCAGTATATGTAGAGCTATTGCTCTTAATTTGGTAAATATTTGCAATTTTTAACTTGTGTTCCTCGTAGCTCAAAAGTGTTTGATACAGAGTCATGAAACTTTGCAGGAATGATGATCAGCATGTAAAGTTGTGCACCTGGGTGTTTCTTTGTTGATTTGTTAAAAGTATGTAGATTAAATGCCCTTGATTTAGTATAAACCATTCCAAAATGCTTTGTCATGTGTACCTTGTGTCCTTGAGCTAGAATCAACCAACTTTACAGGAATGTTAATCAACATGTAAAGGTACGCCCCTAAGATTTAGCGTAACGATTTTTTTCCAGTTTTGTTAGAGTTATTGCCCTTTGCTTAGCATAAATTTGCAACTTTCAACTTGCTTATGTATAGCTCAAATAATTTGCCCTCTATTCCTGAAAATATAAGAATGTTGGTCAGCATATGTTGTTATGCACCTGGGAGTTTTGCTTGTGTTTTTGTTCAGTATTTGTAGAGTTTTGCCATTGATTAAGTAAAAGATTTGAAACCTGTGTCACGTGTAGCGAAAAATTTTGACCTAGAGGCTGCAAACTGATAAAACAGTGGAGTGTTGGGGCACCCAAGTTCTATGGACACATGTCTTGTTTATCTACTCAATCACTGTTTGTTTGCAACCTTTTGCTTGATAATAAGTTAGATTTAATACACACAAGAGTTTCTTAATTAATAATATTTATTGCACCATCTACATATATAATTAAAAACAATATCAAATAAACAATAAAATCTTTAATATATACATAACATTTATTGAAACAAAAGAAAATATAAATGAAAACCTGAAAACCCCAAAAACCAATTCACAATAATATATCTTAGACTGATTATAGAAATAAATAGTTGTTAAACTGGCCAGAAACAATATATATGCTGATATAGACTGACTATAGAAACTAATAGTTGTTAAACTGGCCAGAAACAATATATATGCTGATACAAGTCGTCAATTATTTCTGACACTCAACCTTCCTAAGATCTTATTTTCTTGTGAAAATTCAAGAAAACAATTTTTTTAACATAATATTTTCCTGTGATAGACAATATTCAAGAGGTACGTAACAGATGTTAATTGATACAAACTGTTGAAGTTAAAGTAATTTCAAGGAAAACATAATTAATATATAGATAATACAAGCACCATATCTGTAGTTTATAAATATGTTGTGCCTTGTATTTATTCATACAGTTATCACAATCATTTTGAAAATATGCTTCTTAATGTCTGATTTTTGTGCAGTTCGGTCTTACTGTTTCACAATTCCTTTTCAACATTCAAATCCCTTCGTTACTGGATGTACATGATGTGAATTGCGTTGTTCTGTTTTTGCATGTTGCCTTTTGCCGTTTGACGTTTTAATGAATGTTTATTCCATTAATGTCCTTTGATATTGCTAATGTCGATATTTATACAAAAAATAAACAAAGCCTTATTTGTATATATTTTAATAAAAGCGGTGACGTTTTCTACAATTGAAAATATATTTTTCCGTTTAATGGTATTTTTTTTCTTATATTTTCTTTCTTCAGAAACGTTTTTCAAAAAATAAAAGCTTATGATAACATGAATACATCTTCTTTTTTGCATAATAAAAAAAGATCAATGTTCTTTTTGTTTATCGTACTTTACTTTTAAAAGCAAACTTTTTACAATTTTTACTAACTTAAGACTTTCCATTAATTTTATCATCGTCTTGTGGTGCTTCGTTTTCTTCATTTTCTGTGTCAAATAATGAATACCCAGAAAAAGACGAATACATGTAACCATGGATATATGGCGCACGCTTTAGAAGTACGAGCCAGACCTGGTCCCCGGATGTTAGATTCAATATGGCGGTGTTTGACGACGTCGCCCACAACGGTATACTCTCTGCCCATATTGTCTCCACCATCGTTCCGTTGTTCATCAACATCGCAGCAGCCTAGAAATGAAAACATTAGTAACAAATCAACATTTTTAGATATTTACCTTCTTCGTATATACTATATATGGTAATCAATGTTTTAAAGGCAGTATCTTTTTGTAAGACTGACACAATGTAATTGTATACTTAACATGCATTAAAGGGACAATTAAATTCGTAATGAATGAAATATATATAGAGAATAATAGGTTGGTGCCGTGGATGGCGAAAGTTTATCTGGCGAGGCGGAGGAATTTATTGGGTGAGCCGAAGGCGAACCCAATAAATTCCTGAGCAGAGCCAGATAAACTTTCTCCATCCACGGCACCAATCTATTATTCTATTTATCCTGTCACCGTTTTTTTTAAAGAATTTTATTAAGCAAACTACCTTTAATCACACTATCGGAAATGTTTCTATATAAACAAAGAAGGCCCGAAGCGTGCATTATTCTACAACAATGCACTCACCGTTCTTATTATCTCCTTGTGCATTTTCACATTGAGGGCGCCATTTTGTTTGAAAAATGTGATAAATATTTCATTTATTTCACTTGAAAAATTATAGAGTGAAATAAAATAAACAAACAAAGTTTTATCAACGTTTCCAAAATTCGTTATTCTACACACAGAAGATTTAACGACAGTTTTTATATTTTTTCTTGAAAAATAGTCGAGCAAATATGCATACCACGTGATCAATTAGTGCCGCAGATCAGTAAAAATATACGGCACCTTGTTATCGGGCCGATATTGATACATGTGACAGGATAAACACTTATCACACACCCGTGCCGATTTTGCAACTCCGTAAAAATGGTATTGCACGGCCGTGCATATATATTGACGTGACGTCATTAGCGTTATATAAACATAGTGTAAAGACGCGCTAAATGTTAGCGTTATACTTTAGGCGCGTCAATGAAAAATGACTCTTATTTCACATTTAACGGTCTTTTTTGGGGTATGTGATAAAAAGAATATTAGATTCGTGTAAGTTCATTACTGACTTTATTGCACTCGTTGAATAAAATAATATTATGCTCACCAGAGGCTCGCATAATATAATTTTATTTAACTCGTGCAATAAATTCAGTATAGAACTTACACTCATTCAATATCCTCTATTTAAGTTACATTCTTAAACTGGATATAAATTTCTGTGTTTGAATCTACATTTTGCATTACTTTGGTAATTATGTTATCATATACATGTACACATTCATATTGTGACCACCTAGATCTATATTGTGTAGAATTTTCAATGTAACATGTCTGCTTTGTGTGAAGTCAAACATGTTTATTTATACATGTATTTACAAAGAGACCGTGTTGCATGATCAATATTTTTCAATATCAAATTTGAGCACAGTATATCTTTTAAAATTCGATTCGTTTCGTATTTGCACTTTGATGTTATTAAACTGACGTCATTAATGACGTCATCAAGGAAATTCTATACCTTTTGTCCCCCCTGGGCAGCAATCACGACAGTAAAATGATACAATCCAGAGAAAGGAATAGTGACTCTTCCAGTTTGTTTATCATAGGCATCTCCAACATTTGTGTGAACCTTATCGAAAACAAGATCAATGTTTTCTTCTATCTGACCCTTGTTTTCGCCCAGGCCAGCAAAGAATGCCATACGATAGGTTTTATTAACAGACTTACCTGAAATATATAAATGCATTCACCGTGTATAGTTCGTTCAATTCACAAATGTACATTAAGATATATTTTAACACTCTTTACTGGTTTACTAGTAGTTTCCGGACCCTAGCAGTTGTCCGGTCGTTTATCATATCTGCCAAGGTCTATATTTACCGGAAGAGCACCTGTTTTATTTCATCAAATCAGAGAGATGTTTGTTTTCTATTCAACGCAGCAAATACAATAGTACAGCGGTTTATATATTTGGAAGATTTGCCTGTCGTTTAAAGTTACCTTAAAACACTTCCTACATATAAAAATAAGCAACATCTGGGGAATTCAAATTTGAATACGCGTGCCGAATTCCAAATATATCAGTATTTTTGAATAATAAATACACTTGTAGGCGATGCGGAAAAAGTTGGAGCAATTTACTTTCTGGATAAAATGGCCCTATTTCAACTAAAAAGTAAACTATAAGAGCAACTTAGAAAACAAGGGAATGCTTGACAGGTACTTATGTTTTATCAAAGGTTTTTACACGCCCGTTGACAGATTCTTATTTTATTTGTAAAAAAAGACCGATTTGGGAAACTGCTAGGAAACCAGTATAACATCGCACAAAAGTAACAGTGCGGTGATTCTTATTAGCTTTGTAATGATACTTTATATAGAACAAAGAAATATGTCAGCTCTTAAAACAGTGACCATTATAACAATAAAGGAATAGGAAAGCAGAACGATTAATCTTGTTTTCATAAAGTATAAATGTGATGTTAAGGTTTTGTCTGTTACGTCTTACACTCTCCAGAGCTTGTAATAGGATCAATTTGTATAGAATGATGATGTTTGTTTGATTAATCTATTGATAAAAATCTTATATTGACTGAAGTAGACATTCCGATATCCGACCTACAATTGCGATATCAGCACATTGTAAAAACGTATGAAATGACATGTTAAACACTACAATAATATCATCGTCTCCATAAGAAATAAGTGTTTTTCTCGGCCTTTCTTTCTAATTTTAATTTTGTTTTGTTGTTAACTGCCACAATTGCATTCAATCGCAGGCTAATTACCAGTTATAAAACAGACCAATGTCTAACTTTACTGATTGCTTTTCACCAGTACAATTTTTACTATTTTTAGTGTTAAGAATGTTATCTTGGTGAAAAAAGGGAAAACTTGTCATGGCCGTTATTTCAATTCCCAAGCTTGGGTTACATGATTTTTGGACGACTAAAGAAAATTCGAATATTTTGATATATGGTCTTACATGAAAAGGCTCAATTAAACCTAGCCTGCAACATTTTCAATTTTGCCGTGTTTGGCTTTCTTTAGGGATTCTGTTTTTGTCTATTTCAAATTTATATTTGATTCTGTATCTCTTTATACATGTGTGCCATTTGCATGTTATTGGTAAAAATATCTTCAATAACTGAGTTTTGTATATCAATTTCAAATATCGCATATTGTATTGCGTCAGGGTAATTTTGATCGTGGCTTATATTAACTATTTATAGGTAGCGACACGGCTTATATAGATCTTAGTTTCCCGTATACTCCGTTAGGAACTTATATGATAAATTTATGATATAGCTAGAATATAAAATATTTTTCAGATTACTAAAAGGTCAACACAACAAAAACCTTTTTTTACATGTTAACGTACAGAAATTCAATTTATCGATATACGTTATTCTTATCATTTATTGTACATATTATCTTATTTTGTTAATTTCATTTTTGAAAGAAGCTGATTAGCACTAACTACCCACAAAACTACACACAAAATAATATACATAAAAATATATCATAGGTTGTAACCTTGCTTTGACAACAAATTAAAAATCACAGAAATTCAGAAAGGAAAGTTCTTTGAAGTACTATAACATTAAGTATTGTGCATTGTAAATACTTGAAATGCAACAAATCACACGTATATTGTTCAAAACATTGGACTGCCCAGAAAGCCAAAGGCTTATTTCAAATTAGATCAATCAATTATACCTACTTAATTACACATGTCAATACACCTTAAAAATCTTGATAAAAACAGTAAATATCAAATGATCTTAAGATATGAAAGTTATTATATTTATATTTCTATAATGTATGAATGTGATGTATAGGTAACTAGAGGTCCTATTGTCAATAGATAGTAATTGATGAACATATTAATAGATAGTGTAAACAAATCTTTCCATGGAAAATATATTACTTTTAAGCTTTATTTATGACCTTTGACGTCCATTTTGAATGTATTTTTGTTTTTGAATCTTAGCAGGTTATGCCTGCATGCCAATTCCCTATTACAAAGTAGTAACATTGTGACATTTTCCCTAATAAAGCATTCGGCCTCTCAAGTACTGTATGTAATAGTCCCTGTTGATTATGAAGAATATCTTTAGCGTACACCATTTTCCTTTCTTTTATGATGGACATTTATGTTTACAAATGTACAGACATGGTCCAATACAAGTTGCTATTTTCTATAGTCAACATTTAATAGATACATCCCACAGGTTGTATGTCTAATGTTGTTTTTTTTTTTTTTTTTTTTGGAACAAGATAATGAATACAATTTCATATTCTTTAACACATCTGGTTGGACTTGAGTTCTAAGAAGATCAGATATTATCTATATGACACTGAACCAAAACAGAACACAAATATTGTCTGTATCTTCTGTCTTATGATTAAGCAATATTCCTACTTGAATACTTGAATAATGTTGAATCACCCTTAAGATATGTTGCCTGCTTTTTACCTTTGTCTTTTGACATCTTATCTGTAAAATTCCATTTTGTTTCGTTCCGCCCATTGTTTTCTCGCACAGGGCACACGCTTTCTATAACTTTGGGACCATACGCCGTTTTTCATGGAATGGCACGGAAGTGTCACATTGAAGGTTCCATGATAACCGCCATATGAACATATCTTTGGATGTTTCAAAATTAAAAAAATTGCACTTTCATATTTTAATGTTAAATTCGGCTTAAACCGGTGCTTAGGGGGCGTGGACGGTAGTTTGCACTTAATAGAACCGTCCATGAACAGGCTCTTTCAAACCGAGCCTGCAACATTTTCAATTTTTGCCGTTTTAGACTTTCTTTAGGAATTCTTATTTTCTCTATTTCAGCATTTTTTATACAAAAATTTAAGACGTGGGTTACGAAACATTTACAGTATAATGCATTCAATATTTTATTCTGTAAAGAACATTACTAGCCAATGACATTTTCTAATATGTGTAAACAGAATAACTCTTTCTTCAGCATATACGTAATCTTAGTTTTCAGTCGTGTCCAATAATTTCAATAACAGTACTTGATATAGTGTAAAGAAAGAAATGAACACAATTGTTATAATAATTCCTTAAAATGTAAATACAGATATCGCAAAATGAGTTATCTATTGAAAGGATTAAACAATTTAAATGCTTAATCAATAAAATATTGAAGCTGAAGCGACAAATGACCACCATGTTTTAACTAAGAAAACAAAACCTAGGGAGGTAAGCACCAGGGGCTTAAGGTAATAATTCGGCGGTGGTCCATACAAGAATGCTATAAAACAGTGTGCCAACCAATGAAAATTCGAAACAGTGATGCAAATATTATTATGTGTCCGATTGAACTATTATTATGCAAATCTTTAAATTTACAATCTACAATAAGTTTTGTTTATGAAAAGAAAAAGTAATTTTCAAATGGGGAAATACATAAGATACGTTCGTTCAGTTGACCCGATGTAATACTATGATCAGTGAACTGGTAAAAATCAAAATAACTTGACATTTTGTCCTAATTGTGTTCAATTTTATATTTTCATATGAATAAGAAATCAATATTCATGTGACCAATGGAAATTTCTATAAGCATTGTTTAAAATATATCGATAACGTTCAGTGCTTTAAAAGAGTTTTTATGATTTACGTCGTTTTTATAATGTATCATAAACATTTTTCATTATCAATTATTAGTCAATCTCCTTGAAATAGTTAATTTTTGAAATATATTACTAATTTCACTTAACAGAGCAAAAAAAAATCACAAAGTTACTTTGAATATTATATGTTCACCCTGTAACGCTCAAATCTTGACGAATTTGCATCATTCTTTCTTCACTCACCCAGTCTTAAAGTAATACATAGAGGATATTTGTTTGTTTGTGTGTAAGATGAAATTTTATTTCATCGAGTGGGCTTTAAAAACAGTATTCTCACGAGTGGCGTAGCCACGAGTGAGAATACTGTTTTTAAAGTTCACTCGATGAAATAAAATTACATCTTACACAACAAACAGACAAATTTTCTTTTTATTTTATGCTTAAAAACAAGTTAAGACGAAATTTCCATAATTTTAACGTTAATATTAAAATTTGTTTCCCCCATTGAGAGCCCCATTTAGACGGAATTTCACATTAAAAACAAGAAGACTTGAGCTGAAAAATAAGTCCGCCAATCAAGGTTAAATGACAGTGATATTTATTCATTTTATTAAAAAAATATGAATGATCGCTTGTTTTAATAATAAAAACAAGCAATTCTTGTAGGAGAAAAAGTCTAACCATCCATCCTTATTTCTGTTACTTACTGCGAATTTATATTAGACCTGGCTTTGTAAAATGTAAGCGGCAGCCATTTTTTAAAGTTGTGTATTTCATGGGATGAAAATAATTGTGTAAGATTCAGAGGGATATAATTTGGATTTGTTAGTCATACACCTTTTTAAAAGAAAGAAAACTTATTTGAGGATTGTAACAGACAAAAAATAAGAGTTGACAGAAGTGAAAACATTCAGGAAAGGAGCTAGGAAAATGGAAAACTTGGAAGCTTAGCGGAACGCTGGGTTGTTTTACTTATTTTACGAGTGATGGCTGTCAATGCTTTTCAATTTTTCATAAAGCATACGGCAGTTATTGCTCGTAGGATACTTTAATATGCCCAAATGTCATCAAGAGCAGTTTTGCATGGGGAAGGAATGTATTTTTCAGACTGTAAAAACGAAACAAAAAAATTAGAGACGAAATTTGGTGATTGGAATTTGAATGAATAGAAGTAAGTTTTCTTTCTTTATTACTTTTGACATTTAAGTTATTTATCTATTTCAGCTTTGCAATTTCTTTTAACAGCCTGACATTGTCAGAATTGTCAGTAAAAATAAAATTGAGGTACCACATGGGGAAAATCTTAAAAAAGTAGTTTCGTCATTGAAAAAAGTGAAATTATATTTTGATAATTTTCACTGTGAAATTATCAAATATAATTTTCACGGATAAATCAGTAATCCACTGAAAAGCATAAAATAAATAGAGTATTGTTCTTATTAAAAAAGTGAAAATAAACGTACAATTTGAAGAGTGTTCTGTATTATAGGACTTTATCAATCGCATCGATTGTACAAAGGTTAATGCACAACCACTCTACTTGCTTTCAGAAATACAAATGATCCGTGTCACGGTATTGTCGTGACACGGCTCAAATTTTGACAATATACTCGGGGTATTACAACTCATTAGAATAGCCAACTCGTGGAATTTTCCAGATGAACCATGCATATAATAGTTATTCCGAATTGAGTCTAGTATCTCATAGATCTATTACCGGTTACCGGTACAACTTATTGCATCGTTTGACGTGTTCACCAGGTTTATCTTGGATGTTTTGGACATAGACTTTGACATTTTATATGTGTCAAATTAAGCATAGTTTTGCCCCCATCTATAGAATTTTTCTATTCTTATTTATTGTTCATATGTTTATCTACTCGTTTCTTATTGTTAATATTACATTCATTCACATCACTGATGAGACAGAAGATCTTTTGTCTCGTTATTACTTTAAAAAAATTCTTAGACATTGTATTGTTAGAAAGCTTTCATATGGAATCCTTACCGCCAAATATATCAAAAAACTTGAAGTGGTCACAAGCACGTCATTGGGTCTTAGATTTGTTTATCTTTCACATTAAATAGCGTACTGAAGTCTGGGAGTGAGTACAATGTTTGTATCGATACTTTTTTTTTAAAAATATGATAATTTACTTTTATAGTTCAATGTTTGTGATAAAGCAAATTCAGGAAAGAAAGTAAGCATTTACATGCATGTATAGTACCATTACCAATACACTTTTAAGACAATAAAACACAAAATATTCCTTTTAAATGGCATGTAATTCTGAAATATAACTTCCATATAGGAATACTTTGGCGATTCAAACGAACAAATTATACAATAATCATTATCATTTATTTATTTATTTATTTGTTTATCTATCTATTTATTTTATTTATTTATTTATTTATTTATCATCATTATCAATAACCGTTAATTAATTGTCAGAAAAGTCAAATATTTCCTTGAAAGTGTAAAACATTTTTAGGATCTGGTACACAAAAGTAATTAAGAGTCGAACTGGGAAAGATTTGTCGGGAGACGTTTTTGTCTGATGTATAATTATGCTTAATGTATATCGTTATAGATGATACATATATCTGTGTGTAAGATATAATGCTGTCATGTACATATATAAATCATCGGCAATGATAGGCTGGTAAATATATCGATATTTCCATCATTATCACAGTGTCCCAATTACCACATGACATTAACGTTAACCCTTAATTAACACACATTTCTGAATATGTCATGAAGAAAATGAAGCAATGTTTTCTTGACTAATATCTAAGGTTTTCGCTATTACATTTTCTTAGAAAATTAGATTTTTAGATAATCTTACAATAAATGGCAAAATTATGAAAAATGAATTTTGTAATTGAACCTTTACATTTTTATAATGTATTTGATAATCTGAAAAAAATGTTACTTTCTTTTATTCATTTTTATGTGTTCTTATCTTTACATCAAGACAAACGTATATTTATTTCAAACATAGGTTAATAATAATCGTGTATGTGTGGCTTGTCTGTCTACTTCAAACATAGGTTAAGACAGATTTAACATAACTCTTTTACAACGTTAATCTATATAGAAAACACCACTTGATGTTAACAATGTTCTCTTACTAACATCTCAGTCTTAAAGGGACTCCACTGAATTGTTATGACGTAACAAGACTAGAATTTATTTTTTCGAAATTAATGTTCTATTTGATGAAGGTTTAGACCAATAACTTGTGTGAAAATGTTTAGATCATTCGCTCACTCCGTTTTATCTTAATAATTATTCTAATTGTGAAAGAAATGACCCAAAATTGAAAAGCGTTTCAACGCTTTTCACTTAAATAGGGCTAAGAATAGCACAAAAATATGATTTCAAATCGATTTCTGGGTATGTTTGTTACTTGTTTTTGTATATTTTTTGTTTTAAGTGCCCCAGTTTATCTATGTAAGAAATTCAAATTTTAGATGTTTTTTTAAGCTTTTGGATATCAGCGGAGTTTCTTTAAGGGAAGATTTTTCACTTATGTCTTTCAATTCCTAAAAATGTTGGCAAAAGGAGAAGTAAGTTAGTATTATTATTTTAATAGGCGTAATCATTTTATCAGTTTTCTTTAACAAGCTATAAAGTTTCTTATTATCATTCTTTTTTACAGTTTTAGAAATGTTTCATATTTCTACGACCTCACTGTCATTTGCAAAAAAAAAATAACTTATGCAGATCGAATCTGTTAAGTTTGAATAGCCTGTGCAACAATATTCTTATGATTTTCCTTTGTTTAGTTTAGCCATAACAAAAACTCCCCTACTTGAATGAGATCAAAGAAGTGGAATATATATTTACTTTGTAATATTATGACATAAAATAAAATAGAAAGAGTCGTATTAAATGATAAATCACTTCAGATGAATAAGGTGACTATAATTTACCTGGTTCCCCTGGTGTTCCTGGAGTTCCTGGTTTACCGGCTTCTCCTTGCTCACCCTTCGGTCCTTGTCGCCCGGGTGGCCCTTTAGGTCCCTTAATTGGCAGTTTAACGGGGGTAGTTTGTGTAGTATCACCTTTACATGATATAGACAGCTCGCACTGACCACCAGCTGAATTAATTCTCTCGTCTTGTATAGCACGACGTCCAGAGTGACGATTGCGGTCACGTCGTGGTGACTCCTTCTTGCATGTTATAGAGGCAAATAAAACAAAAGGCACGAACAACACTAGAACAGGCTTCATCACTATATTTATCCTTGAAACAACTAATACTCTTGTATATGTTTATTATCCATTAACGAATCTGGAAGTAAAAATCTAACGATTTTATGAAGACAAAAACAACAACAAAAAAGAAACATTTCGTGAATATTCATCATTACAAAGATCAAATACTAGGTATGAGGATATTGTGAGAATATCACATTAAACATTATTATAGTAAATCCTTAATAATAACAACAACTACAATATTTTGCTCTCTTCTTTATCAAAACAAAATCCATTTATTAAGTTTTCAAATAACGCTAATTAAAACAGATTTAATGAAAATAAATAGTGCTCAATTTGATAGTTAGAATAAATTCAATATCATTTACTTGCTGATAAGAAAAACAGACAAAACAAATATTCCAAATAAGAAAACATATATCAATCTAAGTCAACTCACATCTTTGATGGAAACAGATTAGCCCATGCGTATGGTAATCGCGCGTGATTGAGTCGACCTATTCTGGACCCTAAGAGCGCAATATTGGTATAGATTCTTGTCAATTTACAATAACGTCCGCGTTTCATCCAAAATCAATTCTGTAGACCCACGAGTGTGATTCTTTAATTGAAGACGTATAGAGGTAATATGTATATCGTTTTATTTCACGAACATTACGGCGATTGTAGATTGTCCTGGAATCACTAATTCGCAGTAAAACTGCCTCATAAATCACGCCTGTTATTTTTTTAAAGATCTTGTTGATTTCTAATTAATTTTGTCGAGGTTATAATATCATGAAGTGGTTTCTGAATGATTACATCCCTAACATTCTCTGACATTGGGCACTATTTTAACGCTCCTGTCGTTTTCTCAAGATCCAATAACTTAACGTTATTAAATTAATTGTTAACTCTATGATGATTTTAATTTAATTTTGTTTAAAATACGTACCAGATATTATCATAAATACATGGAGTGTGGACCCAATTCTTCTTCGCCTCTGAATATTAACAAATTGAAACAATACCTTTTTGCAAGCGCTAGTGATGCAAGCACAAGTGATAAATATATTATTATAAAAGTTTGATATGGTCTTAAATCTAACACATAATCAAGTTTGAATTTCATTACTTTTTGAAACAATAGTAATTTATTAATCACTCTTATGAAATGATGCTATTTTAGAGAGACTCATCAATGTTGACACATGTTTTATGTTCAACCCCATTTTATCATCTATACATGCATTACATTGAATCAAGATCATGCCGAATAAATCATAAAATTGATATGAATATACAATTTTAAAATCATTAACGTGACTGAGGTAATTGTTGACAAACAAATTAACACATAAAACAATCGGCAAATAAATATAGTGTATATAACTATAGTCATTTTGTCGCATATTTTCTCGAATTTTAAGAGTTAATGTCTAAACATCAACAAACGATCATTGTTCTATGATTCATAAATCTTAGTATTAACATATTCTGGCAAAGTGCTATATACCGTTTTCCAATTACTCTTCCCCGCACATGTAGGAATAAAATAATGCTCAGACGTTCTGATTTTTGTAACGAATAATCTCGTTCATATTCAAAATTCTCTTTAACACTGCACGTTTGTAACGTCGCTTTTCATTGGGCAATCGTGATATTTATATAGATTTATATGCACGACTGTTGACAATTTATGAAGAAATCACACCTTTTTTCCTCTAAGAAAAGGATGTTTGCTGTATAATATATATTCATATAAAGATCCATGACAAGTGACATGTTAGCAATATAACCCTCGCCTTGTGGTTATATTTACAAACAACTTTTTATATAGGGCCAAATAACCTGTCAAAATCTTTATAAGTAATAAAATACTAATAATACAGGTTCGCTATCCTTATCACGTATCCATTCCTGAAGGAAATGGTGAATAACTCTTTGTCTATAATATTTTCCTGTATTTTACCGTCTATAATATTGTCCTGTATTTGACCGTCGATGGTATTGTCCTGTATTTTACCATCTATAATATTGTCCTGTATTTTACCGTCTATAATATTGTCCTGTATTTTACCGTCTATAATACCGCCAATATATTGTCCTGTATTTTACCATCTATAATATTGTCCTGTATTTTACCGTCTATAATATTGTCCTGTATTTTACCGTCTATAATATTGTCCTGTATTTTACCGTTTATAATATTGTCCTGTATTTTACCGTCTATAATAGCGTCTATAATACTGTCCTGTATTTTACCGTCTATAATATTGTCTTGTATTTTACCGTCTATAATATTGTCCTGTATTTGACCGTTTATAATATTGTCCTGTATTTTACCGTCTATAATATTGTCCTGTATTTTAAGAACAGCATGGATCCTGATCTGAGTGCACGGATGCGCAGGCTGGTCTGGATCTATGCCAGTCGCAAACGCACTATGTTGGTTTTGTCGTGACGCGACTCTTTTAACTAATACGCCCAGATTTATGACCATGTATATCATCATTTAACAGCTCCTTGTATACTCTTGGAATGAAATGATCACTCTTGGAATGAAACGATCATTTGTATCTAAATTCTAAATCCAAAACTTTAATATCTTAACAAAATGGTTTAATATGTAAAGGGTATGGCGACATAGCGTTACATATACAGATATCAAGAAGGGGATCGACTCACAAACTCCAAGGTTTCTCGGGATATCAACAAACACACGGACAGCTCCTTTCGTTATGTAAAAGGCCCAAAAGTCAACAAAATGATATAAATTTTATTTCGTACAGTTATAGTGATTAAATATTTAGAATGGAAGACAAAACGTCATTTGTTTATATTTATTTGACATTCAACATGTGATAATCGTCAAATATACTCTAAATCTTATAATAAAAGACTATGATACAAATGTTTGCTTTTCTATGAAAAAGAGAACTGATATCTAGGAGTTTACGCTATATGCCTTTAAAATATAATTTGTAACACATGTGGCAGGGTCAATTTATAACGTTATACGTTTGTTAGATATTACAGTGCCACAAATAATCCCGTTAAATCAGCACATAGAAGTCCAAAAAGGCAAGGAGATTACTTTTACTGTCAGAAATAATCAGAAAATTATTTATTCTTAAATTAAACTGATAGTTAAGTTACCTCAGTACGAAAGTTTCAATGAGAATTAACGATAAGGAAGCAGATCTAAATATATCTTTTGATCAAGAAGAAAATAAATGACAGCGCACAACAAAAATAGATACGATTTTGCATGTAATTGACTCAATTTGTAACGTATTCTACATTTTTGTTACAATATGTATTTTTTATTGACATGTTATCAGCAATATGTAGATTTTCACATATATTTTTGATTATTTTTATATGAAAATAATTAAGCTATTACCGGCTATCGACAGAATATAACCTTTGTATGTATGCAAACGTTTGTATACATTTTAATCCTTCATTGCAAATAAAGTCCAGACGTGAAAAGTTTTTTTTCCTCAATTACATAAAACTTACATTACATACATCAGTGGAAAATTTATCAAGTAATCGCGTTTAGCAAAACATTTATGTGTAGTGTGTAATGTATAATTTCTTGTCAAAAAATGTTACATTGTACAGTCACCTTATCTATTTTAATGTACATGTATTTACGTAATTTTATAACTCTTATCTAAGTAGTATAACGTTCTGCATTGATGGATAATATATGAAAAAGAAGTAAAACGTTCTGCATTGATGGATAATATATGAAAAAGAAGTCTAACGTTCTGCATTGATGGGAAATTTATGAAAAAGAAGTATAACGTTCTGCATTAATGGATAATTTATGAAAAAGAAGTAAAACGTTCTGCATTGATGGATAATATAAAGAAGTAAAACATTCTGCATTGATAGATAATATATGAAAAGGAAGTAAAACTTTCTGCATTGATGGATAATTTATGAAAAAGAAGAAAAACGTTCTGCATTGATAGATAATATATGAAAAAGAAGTAAAACGTTCTGCATTGATGGATAATATATGAAAAAGAGATATAACGTTCTGCATTGATGGATAATTTATGAAAAAGAAGTAAAACGTTCTGCATTGATAGATAATATATGAAAAGGAAGTAAAACTTTCTGCATTGATGGATAATATATGAAAAAGAAGTAAAACGTTCTGCATTGATGGATAATATATGAAAAGGAAGTAAAACGTTCTGCATTGATGGATAATATATGAAAAAGAAGTAAAACGTTCTGCATTGATAGATAATATATGAAAAGGAAGTAAAACGTTCTGCATTGATGGATGATATATGAAAAGGAAGTAAAACGTTCTGCATTGATAGATAATATATGAAAAGGAAGTAAAACGTTCTGCATTGATAGATAATATATGAAAAAGAAGTAAAACGTTCTGCATTGATGGATAATTTATGAAAAAGAAGTAAAACGTTCTGCATTGATGGATAATATATGAAAAGGAAGTAAAACTTTCTGCATTGATGGATAATATATGAAAAGGAAGTAAAACGTTCTACATTGATAGATAATATATGAAAAAGAGGTAAAACGTTCTGCATTGATAGATAATATATGAAAAAGAAGTAAAACGTTCTACATTGATAGATAATATATGAAAAGAAGTAAAACGTTCTGCATTGATAGATAATATATGAAAAGGAAGTAAAAACGTTCTGCATTGATAGATAATATATGAAAAAGGAAGGAAAACGTTCTGCATTGATGGATAATTTATGAAAAAGAAGTAAAACGTTCTGCATTGATGGATAATATATGAAAAAGAAGTAAAACGTTCTGCATTGATGGATAATATTATGAAAAGGAAGTAAAACTTTCTGCATTGATAGATAATATATGAAAAAGAAGTAAAATGTTCTGCATTGATAGATAAAATATGAAAAGGAAGTAAAACGTTCTGCATTGATGGATAATATATGAAAAGAAGTAAAACGTTCTGCATTGATGGATAATATATGAAAAGGAAGTAAAACGTTCTGCATTTATAGATAATATATGAAAAGGAAGTAAAACGTTCTGCATTGATGGATAATTTATGAAAAAAAGTAAAACGTTCTGCATTGATGGATAATTTATGAAAAAGAAGTAAAACGTTCTGCATTGATAGATAATATATGAAAAGGAAGTAAAACTTTCTGCATTGATAGATAATATATGAAAAGGAAGTAAAACGTTCTGCATTGATAGATAATATATGAAAAGGAAGTAAAACTTTCTGCATTGATAGATAATATATGAAAAGGAAGTAAAACTTTCTGCATTGATGGATGATATATGAAAAAGAAGTATAACGTTCTGCATTGATAGATAATATATGAAAAAGAAGTAAAACGTTCTGTATTGATGGATAATATATGAAAAAGAAGTAAAAAGTTCTGCATTGATGGATAATATATGAAAAGGAAGTAAAACGTTCTGCATTGATAGATAATATATGAAAAAGAAGTAGAACGTTCTGCATTGACGGATAATTTATGAAAAAGAAGTTTAACGTTCTGCATTGATGGATAATATATGAAAAAGAAGTAAAACGTTCTACATTGATGGATAATATATGAAAAAGAAGTATAACG